TAATCACCTGATCAGTTTATTTTCTGCTTGCTTAACAATAGGTTATTTCCCGAAATCATGGAGACATGCAACAACGGCAATCATCCGCAAAGCGGATAAAGACTCATACTCAGTTCCTGGATCATACAGACCAATCGCTCTTCTATCTTGCCTTAGTAAAATTTTTGAAAAGATTATAACTAATAGAGTCACTTACTGGGCAGAAAACAACAACATTTTAGCAGAAGGCCACTTCGGTGGAAGAGCTAACTGCAGTACTGATGATGCTAACCTATTCCTGACATCTTGGATTAAGCATAAATGGAGGGAAAAGAAGATAGTCTCGGCCCTCTTCCTTGACGTTAAATCTGCTTTCCCAACAGTCATTAAAGAACGAATGATTGACACACTGATAAGAAAGAATGCACCTTCTTATTTAACAGCCATCCTGAACAGCTTACTTTCTGACCGAACTACTTCAATAAAGATGGACGACTTCACTTCAGCACCATTTGATTTGAAATGTGGTTTATCTACAAGGATCACCTCTTTCCTCAATCCTTTACATCATCTATAACTCATCTCCTTCTGATTAATAACTCTCTCGACTTGAACTAAGACTCTATCTCTTTAGGTTTCATAGACGATGTTACACACTTGGTTGCTAACAAAGACATCGGAATAGCTACGCAAAAGCTGGAACACGAGGGAGAAAGATCATTGCTGTGGGGATCCGAACACAACGCTATCTTTGATCAAAAGAAAGCAAAATACATGATCTTTACTCATCGACACATTCATCCCACACCTTTGAAGTTTGGGTAATTTTCTCTTCCCCCATCATCTAATACTAAGTATCTCGGTATTATTTTTGACCCAAAACTTCTATTCAATGACCACTTAAAAAGAGTTAAGAAATGTGGAGACCAAACTGTAAACCAGCTGATCAGAATTTCAAGATGTTCCTTTGGCATTGGCCTACAACAATCTAGAAACCTAACTATCAGTGTCCTCCGATCAAGAGTCCTTTACGGAAGCATGATCTGGGCCTCTGAAAGGAATCGCAAACATGTTAAAAGTATCATCGACAAGATAGAAAACCAAGCTAATAGGATGATTCTGGGAACCTTCCGTTCCACCCCATGCTCCTTCTTAAACAGGGAAAGTCCACTAACTCCCTTCTTTGATACCCTGAAAAGGAAAAATCTTCTTTATTGCGCAAAAAAATTAACAGCTCCAGATCAACACCCAATCAAACGAATCCTCAAATCAGAACTAACAAACCGATCTCCAACCCACCCATCACCTATTCACAACTTGCTAGATCAACAATTGCTAACTCAACTCAACATCAATAAAATAGAAACAATCTTCCACCACCAAATCCAACCATGGGAAAGCTTCAGCCTTGAAATCAACAATATGAAGATCAAGAAAGAAAACGCAAAAGATGTTGTCACAAATCAGATCAACCAAATGAAGAACAGCTCAGAAAACTTGCTATTCACAGACGGCTCCAACATTCCGGATCAAGGAACAGCGGCGGCAGCTCTTCTCAACAACTCAACATCCTTCGCCTGCAGAATCAACAACGCCAAAGACTCATCATCATTCGAAGCCGAAGTTACCGCAATCAACATCGGTCTTGAAATGTTCCAAAACAACCTCAACAACCTTCACTCCGGAAATCAACAACTCATTTTCGACAACCGACTCAACATCTTTAGCGACAATCAAGCAACTCTGACAGCAATTTCGAGGCCACCAGCATCGACATCACTTCAGTTCAGGTTCAACAAAATTTTCACTCTCTTAAAGTCAATTTCATCCAACCCAACTATACCGATCCATCTTTTCTGGTGCCCAGCTCACGTGGGTATCCCAGAAAATGAAAAAGTCGACTCTCTCGCCAAAGAAGCAACACTCAACAACCAACAATTCCGCCTTGAAGATCAACCACAATCGCTTTTGAACCTCCAACAACAAATTCGACATCAATACAAATTCAACAAACTCAAGAATCCGCTGATCCGAAACAACATCAAATTAACAACACCACCTAACAAAATCTTTAACAAACTCAATCAAATAGAAAGGGGAGGAGGGTCCGCAATCTATCAACTTCGATCCGGTCACTGCCCCCTCAACAACTTCTTATTCTCCATAAAAAAATAGATTCTCCACTATGTAACACATGCAACAAAATCGAAGACGTCAAACACTATCTGCTACACTGTAATAAATACCACATTCAAAGAAAAAATAATCGGAAAAAAATCAAAGAAAACAAAATAAGAATCAACATCTTCTCAGTAAAATCAATTCTCGACTCGCCAACTAACTTCGACGTCTTAGCTAATTTCATTTTAGAAACAAAAAGATTCAGCAATTTAAAATTCTACATCGAAAATGAAAAAGAATAAAAAAAAAAAAAAATGTTCATCCAATTCTTTCTATCTCTTTCTATCAGATTTCTTACGTATTTTCTTTCTCATATCTTCTAAAATTCTTCTAATTAACCGAAAGCTTGGCAAATTATCTCATCATTCAAGTCTTTTTAGAAGAAGATCGATTCATCAAACTGCTTCGGAGTTGCTACTCGGTGATCTGATACTGAAGATGACTTTCATTGGAGTGGAACAATCCTTGAAATAATTTTGAGATCATTCCTTTCTTCTGCTGTTTATTGTATCAATACACAAATGAAGTATATGCTGTTAAACAAAGATCTCACCCAACTCTCCTTTGTATATATTGGTGGATTTGTGAAATCTTTGGGAATTTGATTCTAATCTTAACATTTAACACTGCAACGGTAGCTAGAACAGAATGAGAGCCAAACTGCAGAAGGCTGATCAAAATAACAAGTAAAGCCATTGTGTGATTGATTCTGTGTTCCGACTCGTAGGTTCATCTCATTGCCAACGGACGTTTGTGGGTACTCTTTTCGGTGTCTTACACCAGATTGGTCTTGATAACGGAGTCTGATAAAAGCATCCAAATCAGTGGCTCCTGATAAAAAATTAATTATTCAAACAGAAATTGATTTGCAAGAGGTTGAATGATTGTATCAAGTCAAAAAAAAAAAAAGAAAACAGGAAAGCCTCGCTATAATCATCAACAAACACTGAGAAGTAAATTTAGAATACAAGTCATCACACGAAAAGAAAGCAAGGAATTGAGGGCTGTGAGAAGCAAGGAAAGATGGGTATCCAAGGTATGTTAGGAAGCTACTGTTGGAAAGGACAAGTCAAAAAAGATTGATCAATTAAATGACCGATTATGGATGTGAGTTGCGTGAATGTGTAGAGAAAATCTTCACCATTTCCATTGGCTGGATTTCTCTTGAAGACGTCCTTGGCAGGTGGGTTCCGTGTTTTGTCAGAGAATAAGAACGATTCTTGAGATCCCTAAATCGTCAGGATTAGTAGTTGCAAAGGTTTGTTATAATGAGGATCAATGGTCCGCTTACCGTGACAAAGTTAAAAGAGATCGAGGCATAGTAACTGAAAGATGAAGCAATCATGTGGAATCGATGAATTCTTTCAAGAGGTAACAGATTGACGAAAGTTAGAAAATCGGTTAGGCTGGTGGAGGATAGAATTTGACCAAGGATTGAAGAAGAAGCTTACAAGAAATTCAGGTTGGGCGTTCTGGAGATGGCATCATGTCCTCAGGGTAGACCCGGCGCTCAAGGACATCCAGCTTTCCCTTCCCGGAAAAGAGTTCCATTCCACCATCGTCGGTGTAGCGGTAGGAGTGGGTAGCGCTTGAGGTAACCATGGGCATCTTGTGACCGGTCTTGATACAAACAAGGAGGCAACATTTGGGGCGGCAGTTGCGGGATCCAAAGCGGACGGGTTTGGCGGGCCTTTGGCCAGGGTGGGCGAGGGGAGAGGTAACAGGGGGAGTGTGAGAGGCCATTATGGCTGGCGTGCCCCGAAGGGAAGAGAGAGAGAGAGAGGAAGGGAGAAGAGGATGTGTTGGTTGGGTGTGGATGAAAGAGGAGAAGTGGGAGGCAGAGTGAAGTCCTGGGCAGTCTTTTATAATCAATCCACGCCAGACAGCAGCAGCGTTCTGACTGGGGCTCAGCCTTGCCCTAGCAATTCGACAAAGGGGAAGCCAAACACGATGCAAACAAGCTAGTCACAGATCCAATAGACGGTCTTATGTACTGAATTGCTCATAACTGCGCAGGCAAAATGGATGCAAACAACCTAGCTTGTACTGTAGAAAACCTTTTCCCCGTGGCCACTTAACCTTTGTGGAAGGCGGTTGAGTAGCTTGTGTGATCTTTAACGGTTAGAAGATTGATGTATGTATGAATTCAAATTGTCTCTGTGTTTTTCCATTCCTTTCTTCATTCCGATCACCGTTGAATTTAATAGCTAAGTCTCAACTCAATTGGCAACAGGTCATAATCGCCTTTGTTGAGTCTATTGTGGAAAACCGACATCGAAAGTTAGAAGGCAAACTTGTCGATCAGAAGCTGAGAGCAACTGGCCATGGAAGGTCTGGTGGGTTTGTTCCTTCTGGGTTGCAATTGATATTGATGTTACAATGTATGATTGTTTGTCCCCATTGAGTTTCAGCTATGCGATCGTATCAAAATTTATACAAGACTCCAATCGTTTCCCAGATCACTTCCTACGATGAAGAATTTTCCAATCATCTTTCTCTTCTTCCTCTCTTTGGTTTATTCTCTTTCTCTTCTCTTTAAATTGTTTTCAGTTTCACTTCCTCCTTTTTCATAACACTAGCACAGTTGTAGTAGTGTTTGATTAATTTTTTGTGTCTTGTCACAGAGCTGTTACTTAGATTCATAGTGTGCAATGCCATAGGCCAGATTTCACTTAAAAAAAAAAAAAAAAAAAAAAAAAAAAAAAAAAGTACCGTTCACGTCTGAATTCTGTATGGGAATTCCATGAAAGACACTTGCACGCTTTCAACCTGGGGTTGTTGTTCCAAAAACATAACAATTGCAACCCCCAGAGTCGGGACAAAATTAGGAAGCAGAAGGTGAGTGACCCCAGTCGCATGAAATCAAATCACAAGCAGGGTTTGCTTGGCCATTCCTTGATTTCATTCTAATACGACAACTTTCAGAGAAGGGGCTACACTAAGTCCACTGAGCATAAGCTCATGAGACCTTCAATACCCGTGAATCCCACTGGGGATTTTGATCACATTGACTTCGGAGCTTTGTTGAGTTTTCTCTATACTGAACATATAACACGTTCATTTCTGGGCAGAGGAGCCTTGATATGCGAAGGTGGCGGGACTTTGTCTGTTTCTGGACAAGCTCTGTGAACGGGAGGAATGCTGCAAGAAGTTGAGCGGACCAGAAAGCAATGCTTGAGCAAGTCTAATTGTTGTTAAAGATTGATTAATGGATCGAAAGCGAGATAGAATGCTCGATGACTCCCTCTTGAGAATAAATAGCAAGAAGAGCGTACACTGGAGTATCACAACCTATCAGCTGGAGAGTTCACTACCAGTAACAATCATTTGGATTGGTATGCAGATATTATAGTCTGCCGGAAACAATGATGTGGATGTTACGATTGCGGGATACAGCCCTAGTACGATCCAGTAAATACTACCACCGTGTCGGCAACCGAAAGTCGGGTCGAAGAAGCCGACGTATGTGAACCGTGCAAAGTTACCGACAGCTCCAGATGAGCACAATATGTTGACTCTGGAGCTGGTTATTCGATTTGTGTCCGGACCTTCGCAGAAATATCACCACCGAAATATGGCGGATCGTACCCTGTGGTCGGTTCGAGCGCGCCAGGCGGCCAGGCCCCTGCAGTAACCCCCGGAGCCTCCGATACCCAAATGGAGACAAGGCCCGCTACTTTCTCGGAAGACATTACTGATGTGGTTAAAGTAGTCGGCATCCCGCTTCAAGCGTATGGAAAAAAGAGTTGATCATTCTCTCTTCTCTCAGAAAATTCACGGTACGACTTGCAAAACTCGCAAGTATTTTCTTTCCTCTGGCAGATAAAACCTCAAATTGGGCATGTACCAGGAACACATCTATTTAAATAAGTGGAATTGGATGTGGTTATCGATGTAAAATCATAAAAAAAAATTATGTTTCAACTTATAATTAGCAGACGAAAAAAAAAAAAAAAAAAAAAAAACTCAAGACCAAGAAGAACATACACATGAGTTCAATCTCCATGATAACCAAAACCAAAGAGAACAGAGAATAATAAAAAAAAGAGAATGATCGATGCGGAAACAGAGAAGTGAGAAACCAGAAACAACGGGGTTCTATTTTTGTTTCAATGATTAACAAGCACACAAACAAACCACACTTCATTAATTAATCAATGGAACTTATTTCGAATCAATAAAATTAAACAAGTCAATAAAGAATGTTGATCGAAATAATCGAGCGACTGGGTCCGAAGTTTATGATTAACAACATCCTATAAACAAACAACCCCAAAAAAAAAGAAAAAGAAATATCAGTAACCCCCAAAAAAAACATCTTTTGAAGTAAACAAATGATAATAATAGTGAGAGGTGGAGGAAGAAGAGAGAGGCTAAGACGAACCAAAGAGGTGCCGATTCCTTCGACCTGATCCCTAGATGTTTTGTTCGGTTTTCTTCCAATCTGAGGTTGATCAGGATAACCGAGAAGAGGAGGATCAGACGGATTTTTGGATCCGGAGGGGGACGCTGACGAAGGCCGATCGTGCCCTTGCTCGTCCGGCCGATTGAGTCCATCTCTGTCTAGTCCATCTCTGTCTTCCGGCGGAAAACCACCACCACCACCACCACCGTATTCTTGATGATGATGGGGAATTGAATCAGAGATCGAAGGGTAGTCGAGTTGGAAGTGAAGCTGAGAGAGATCGAGAAGCTGTTCGTATTCTTCTTCTTCAGTATGCCGTTCATGCTGTTGTTGTTGTTGTTCGTGTAGTGATGGTGGTAATAGTTGGGGCTGGGAGATTGGAGGGGAAGGAGGGGCTGAAGGCGAGAGACGGAACTCGAGGAGTCTCCAGACGTCAGGTCGGTGCCACCATTCGAGTCCAGAGGGGGAGCCAAGCAGTCGAGAGCCGATGGCTTCCGGTCCAGTCGCACAACTTTCGTGATGGAGATGATGATGATGATGATGATGATCGTGATCGAGAGAGTGGGGATGACGTTTCTGGACGCTGAGGAAGATCAGACGCATCAGACGACGCTCCTTGAACCGACGTGGACTCCCAAAGGCTTCCAGGAACCGGATCATCGTCAAGAGTCGTTCGACCAGGCCTTCGAAGGCCTCCTCGACCCGATCCTCTTCCATCATGAGTGATGACGAGGAACTCAGGCCGGCGGCTTCCCGCTTCTCCAGTCGTCCATCCAGATCCTCCTCTGGGAATAGGACTCGTTCGATCATCACCAGGCCGATATCTCCAGGCATGATTTTCTTGAACTGGATCGGGGGGTGATGATGGGTCTGATCGGGGCTGGTTTCGAGGATGAGCTTGGACCAGAGTGTGGCGAGCTGGAAGAGCCGTTCGAGGCCGGCTGGGCCTGTCCATTGAGAGGAGAGCTTGAGGTGGGAAGAGAGGAGGAGTTTCCAGGAGCGGGGACGGATGATATCGGGGCCGAGCCGGGCAAGTGCACCGTCGATGAGCTCGAGGATCAGGCCAAAGTCAATCGGCAGGGCGGATGGAGAGAGCAGGAGATGGCCCAGGATGGCCTCGAGGCCGTCTGCCTGGCGACGGATCAGTCGGTGAGCCTCGAGCCGGCCGCCGTATAGGGTCTTTTCCCGCTCGCTCAGGCTCAGATCGAGCAGTTCTTTGAGTCTCTTCAAGATCTCGTCGAGCCTCCTACAGCCCTGCGGTTCCTCCTCAGCGATCATCCGGATCTGTCCGACCAGACATTCCGCCTGGGAGAGGATCAACCCGGTCCTCCAGAACGAGGGCGCTGGGTTCCGCGAGACCAGTTCCTGGAACTCAGTCGAGCTTATAGGTTGGTGTGGCCCGTCGGGGTGGGTCCGATGGATGAGCTGGCCCTTGGACCGACAAGAGACTCTGATCGAGCGGAGTAGATCGTCCTGAGATCCCTCGAGACGCTCGAAGAGGTCTTCGGACCGATCGGCGGAGCGCAGGAGAGTCGAGAGGATGTAGGGATCCTGGGCTTGGATGAGTTCTTGTAGGTTTTCATCGGGCTGTCCCAGGAGTCTGTTGATTTGCAAGCGCCGATGGTCTAGCTGATTGGAGAGTATTGGACTGCCCGAAGCTTGCTGCCATTCTTGTATTCCTTTGAGCCAACGACGCAGGCTGGTTTCCTCTGGATTAATATGACTAGTAGATGGATTGGATGCTGTTGTTGTTGGGAGAGAGCGGATGAGTAGTCCGATGGCGAGAGAGAGGAATCTGGTGAGCTTGAGTTGGTGTTCGTTGGATCTGATCGGTTTGGGTTGGTTGATGGTAGATTGGAATAGCCATTCGATCCAGTTGATCGGTGGTTCTCGTTGGCTGATGGCTGTTGTCCATAGTTCGACTAGTGTTGGGATGGGTATCTGTGAGTGTTTGAGTCTGCAGGGTTGGTTGTTTTGGATGGCTTGTTTGATGAGAAGGTGATAGTGTTCCTTGGGAGTAGTCGTTCTTGCTGTTGCTGTTGTTGCTGTTGCTGTTGCTGTTGCTGTTGTTGTTGTTCTCCTGTTGAGTGGTAGTAGTGGTAGTAGTAGTAGTTTGGTTCTGTTTGAGTTCATTGGTCGTGTTTTTTTTTGTGTTGGTGATTGGTTCTGCTCATGACCATCTCGACCCTCAGCTTGGATTACAGTACCACCACTCCATTTGCTTCTCATCAAACACACAATTATGTATCAACTCAAACAACTCTCCACATAATCAACTCTTACTACAAGCATTCACATCTGTTTTGTTTATCAACCAGTCTGAAGATTCCAAACATGAGGGTATAAGACCAATATCCAAATCTTCAGCCATCCAGCTGATCCCTGTGGTTTCTGAGTCCTGATCCATCTGATCAAGTTCCTTTCTTCTGGCTATTACAAATACACAGATACATACATCAGACAAACCTTGCTTGCTTCTTTAAAAATGTTCTTCAGTACAACTCACACTTTGGTTGTTTTATTAAATACACAATTCACTCTCTTGTATTCCTGCATTTCCACATTCTCATTGGCCTGTTTTCAGCCTCCTTAATGTGCAGTTCCAACCACACAGCCACAGAGGATGGTAGCCCATCCTGCTTCCCAGCACTGGCAAAGCCTCAGTTTCAGACACATGGGTTAAATTTGCTCAGTCACCCCACACCAGCCATTCAAAACAAGTGCAACTGTCTGAGCTAACAATCTGACCAGGAGTTTACCAAACCATGATTTCATATCAATATGTAGCAACACTACAGGACAGCCACACCACTCACATTGCATGGAATATAGATACATCTCAAGCTTACATGCCAGCTACATATTTCTGTAGCCCCTGTCTGCTACATAACTCATGCAATCTGGCTCCTAAGAGTTACAATCAATGCAGATATTGACACCTGTTGTCTTCTACTTGTCACTGACAAGCTTCTGCTTGATTCTGGACCCATTTTGATCCTACATACTTAGAATCCCATTTCCAAGGCCACATCTTCTGACCAATCTCACATCCCCTCATTCACTCCACCCACCCAGCCAAAATAGCTCAACACATGCAGTCAACTCATTCAACCAACAAAAAAACACTCAACAGCTTTCATCTGTGCGGCTAAATTCCCTCATTCAAAGCTCAAGGCCAGCTAAAATCACTCATCTTCTCTTCCCCTCTGGCTCAAGATTGTCTGCGCATTTCTGTTTATAAGGAGCCTGTCCTGTCCTGCCCCCCCCCATCAAACTCTCTACATCCATTCCCCCCACATCATAGAATTTACAATCACTCCTGAAAGTGATCAGCTCTACTCAGGACTTATGTAGCCCTTTTTTATCTCCGCAGACTGCATCTTATCAATCATCATTGATTTGCCCACAGCCCTCACTCATATACCTCATCACTATCAGCACCCCTCTAATGGAGGATTCCATCCATCCCATTCTCTCCCCTCACCCCCTAATTAGGTCATGGAATTTTGATTGTGTGGATGTCTTATAAAAACGTTCTGCACAGATGAAACAATCTTAGAGACTCTGATCCAAATAATCATGAGGGCATATCCTCTCAGAAGAAGAACCATGACTCATATCTACCACATGTGCTAGAGTAGAATGATGTGAGTAGATAATACACTAAGGCCAGAAAACCTCATATTTGAATCTCTATCAGGATTTTCCAAAAGAAAGGCAAGGGATTGCACAGCATATCACTGTACTGACCTACCTTCAAAGGCAGGAGCTATGTAGATCACCTGGACCCTCTGCAGGAGGCTTTTGGGTGTAAACTCTCATGACTTGCCTCATAGCCTCCAGCCCGGCTTGGTGCAGTAGTATGGAGTCCATGAGGGGCATACCTTGTCCTATATCTCTAGTGCACAAGTGATACATAATGTAAGATAAATATGATTCTTGGTATTAAGTGATGTTCAATCAGATATCATTGTCCTAAATACACAATTAGAATCTCAATCACCAGTCCTTGTTTGATTGGAATCTTCACTAGTGTCATTGATAGCCGTGATGGGTTTTGATATGAGTCTTATGTCTGCTTCTGCCTAACTTGTCCCCTCAACCCCAGAAGAAAAAACAAATGAGAGAAATGCAAAGCACCTCACAAAAAGAGAAAAGAAAAAAAAAAGAAGAAGAAAAAAGGAATAGAAATCATGAAGAAGAAAAAAAAAAGAAAGACATAACATGAATAAATATGAAAAGCAAGAAATAAGACTGAAGAAAAGTAACAACTAGAGAGTTGAAGAAAAAGCAGAAGTTGATATATATACTTTTATGAGAATAAAAACAAAAAAAATAAGTGGTATTAGGTAAGAGGAGAACCAAAGAGAGTTTGAGGGTGTTCAGGATTGTTCTAAGAATGATCAAGAGAGATATGGTCCTCAATGTCGAGCTTGAATCCGGCAAGAGTGTAAGTGGCATTAATGTGATCCCAGAGGACGGGAAGGTTATCAAAGGGGTGTTTGGGTTTGGGCTCCGAATCCCACCAGTCGACGGGAAGACTAAGGTCGATAGGGAATCCGTCGAGATCCTCGTCATCGTCGCTGACCATGGTTCCCTCGGTGCCAGTGACTGAATGGTCATCAGAAGAGCTCTTGGTGGCACTCCAGTGCTCCTCTGAGCCACTCTTTGAGCGGATTCGGTCCGCGTCGTCCACCCCCGGCCCGTCAGCTTCATCACTCTTCCCCCAGATCGACTCGAGATCGTCCAGCTCACACTCAAACATCTCATCCTTCAGCTCATGTCTCTCCCCATCATGGGCCGTGCCTTCATCATCATCGGGCGAGTTCAGCATGTCGATATCCTCGCTCAAGGATTGGGTGTTAATCTCGAGACCACCATGGGTTGGCCCTGCTGAAGGATTCTCCTTCTGTTTCATTGGAGACCCCGGTTGATCATCACACTGGGCAGCAATATTGGGCTTAGCCTCATCCAACTCATCAACTTCAAGTTCCATCCTCACCCACGCACTGTCCGGTTCTGAGCAAAGACTTCTAGGGGTGGCAGGGTCACCTGCAGCGGTACGAGGAATTTCGGGTTCGGTGATGTTTTTAGTAGCCACTTCGGGTGAGTGAGTGGCTGTTGGACTAGTGTTACATGAGTGATCTGGGCTTGAGGCCGGGAAGTCAGAGTCGAGAGACATGGGTGAGGAGCGAGGGCTGTCCGAGACGTCTTGCAATGGATTCGGCTGCTGAGCTTGAGTCTGGTGATCAACTCGTGTCTGATGATCAGCTTGAGTCTGATTCAACTGCTGAGCTTGAGTCTGGTGATCAACTTGATTCTGGTGATCATCTGGCCGGATAACGAAATCATCACAGGGTAGAGGTGAGAGAACCACATCAAGTCTGATGTCAATTGACCTGTTTGAAGAGCCAACTGCTGAAGATTTATTGTTGTGACCAGGATTGGATGGACGACGATGTTGAGCGGATGGATAGTTCTGGACGAAGACCGGATGAGCGGGGAAGAAGAATTTCAAACTGGAGCTTGTGTCTGGGGTTGGTGGCTCTGCCTCAGGGCCTTTTTGGGTGAGCGACGAGGATTGCACGGGTGATTTCAAGCCGGTATGGATTGGTGAAGGAATATGTGGTAGGGGATGATTTGTTCTTGAAATTGATGGCGCAGGCGGAGAGGACCGTCTTCTTGCCGCTACCGGATGTCTTGTATCTGAGTGTGATTTAATAGGGGCCGAGTCTTTGTAGGCCGGAGGAGGGTATTCTGAGCGTGGTGATGAGCGTCGAGAGGATGGCCGATAACGAGACGGCGAGCGAGCACGAGGGGAACGCGGTGGACGATCGTATGGACGAGCATATGATGCCTTGTGAGATGGAGGACTCCTTGGATTGAAGGAGCTTCTGTGTGGCGAAGGTGGTGGGCGTCTGTCGCGATAGTGAGATTCTGAATGGAAAGTGCGGCTACCTGTTTCAGCACCACTGCGACTCGTCGGTGGAGGGCGATAGTGAGATTCTGAATGGAAAGTTCGGCTACCTGTTTCAGCACCACTGCGACTCGTCGGTGGAGGTGACTCCCGTGAGACACGCCGCGAAGGCGACCATGGCAGCAGCTCACGCCGTGAAGGCGACCATGGCGGCAGCTCACGCCGTGAAGGCGACCTTGGCGGCAGCTCACGCCGTGAAGGCGACCTTGGCGGCAGCTCACGCCGTATAGGCGACCTTGGCCGCTCACGCCGCGTAGGCGAGTTTGGGCGGGCACAGGCTGAGGCATTGTCGGCAGAGTGGAATCTGGAAGGAGAAGGAGGACGAGCTGGGAGGTTTGTGGTAGAATGGGATCTCGAAGGAGCCGAAGAATTGGTAGCCGATGGTACATGAGAAGAGGGGGTTCCTCGTGAATGGCCTTGAGTTGGGACGGCGGGGGGAGGTTGAGGCCCTGTATCAGCTGGGACAGTCGGCTTGACGATTTGAAACTTCATTTGACCCAAGATGTCTCTCATACGTGGGGTCGATTCAGTAGGGTGGGTTAGAGGGATGGTGGGTTCCTCAATCGTTCGATGAAAGTTGGATGGCTTTTGGAGAGGTTTCGGCTGGCGTAGAGGATCGGGTTGAGATGGAGGGGGACGTTGTGGAAGTGGACGCGGTTGAGAGCTGCTTGAGTCTCGAGGACGGGAGACTTTGCTTCGTTTGAGAAGGTTGTTTGGGGTGTTAGAGCCTTCATCTTCTTCCAATTTTCGGTTCCGTCCTTGGTTGGCCTTCTCGAGCGCTTTTGCGAGTTGTCCGGACTTGACCGGGATGGCATACCGGTCTCGCTCGAGTCGTTCCAAGCGGAAGATGACGCATTTGAAGTCGGTACACCCAGAGGGATCTTTTATGATTTCGGAGCGCATGGCCTGATAGAGACCATCGTAGCGGTATCCAAACGCAGGTGCCCATGGGGAGTGGATCGCGTCGGGACCTCGGAGGACTCGGATTGGATTTCGAGTTGCAATGGAGCGCTGGAGTGAGCGATTGAACCGGTCATCGGGCTTTTGGTCCTGCTGCATGATGGATGCCTTTTTGCCTTCCGGGGTTCTGAATCCGCCGCTTCCCATGTACCTAGTGAAAGATCAAAGCTCAAGTTAAATTCTGAGAGTGAGGCGAGAACAGGAAGATAAGACGGAAGACGCATTTCTTGTAGAGAGATAGAGAGCGAAGCGAGCGAGCGAGAGAGAGAGAAAGAGAGTTTCAAGTGATGGCTTACCAGATAATGTCACCGCAGTCACCATCAGGGTAGCCGTCATTCAAGACCACGCTTTCGGCTCCACCGCGTTCTTCGGTGCCGGAGATTCCGCCCTGGTAGGGGGCGTGTACACCGGCCTGACTGACTTCTGACCTCTTGTCCCATGACTGGCCGGGGAGCACGCCGGGAATGTGCCCAAAGGTCTGTGGGTTTGGACGAGAAGTCCTGTCGAGTGGCGGCTGTTGGGATGGCTTTGGGCTGAAGGAGATGAGAGGTTGGGATATAGCAGTGAATGTAGGAGGGCGAGATGGCGCTGGTGGAGGTGGGCGAGGCTCGGTGGAGGTGCTCTGGGTCGGGTTCGGAAGGGCCGGAGGGAAAGGAAACATGCCGGAAGTGAGGAGGTATCTGTAGTGCGGTCTCTGTGGTTGGGTTGGAATGGATCTACATCATAAGTGCCTGAAGTGCTACATCACTTGGAGCATCCACATCCAGTATAGGCTTGGACACTGGTCCAATTGTGATGAATATGTAGATACGTACCTTCGTGATTCGATGGGGAGTGGGTCGGGGTCAAGCAGGCAAATAAGGAAGGGGAGATGCACTGATAGACTGGGAGAGTCTCTGAGAGCCAGTGGATTGTTTAGGTGTGAGTTTATGATGAGTCCATCCTATAAGCTCAAAGTTTACTTGTTTGACAAACAGGGCAAAACAGTGGAGGATGGGGTTATTGTTGAGTAGGCAGTGCTCAGTACTGCAGAAGAGGCAGGTTGGGGAGGATGTGGAGGAGGATGTGGAGGAAAGAGGCCTTGATGGAAGAGTGGAGCAGGGGGGGGAACAGGCACTAGAGGGTGCAGCACTTTGTAGTCAAAGCTCCTCATGAACTGTATGCATTTGAATATGAACAACTTAAATATACAAGAGCTGACACATCACTACTGAACAACTCCTTTCAGTTGTGGTTGCTCCTGCCAAGTTGCTAGTGTGTGAGGATCTGCATCATTTACAGCAGTTCCCAGAAAGCTTGCCTTCGCGAGCTCCTGGGATCTGATTTTTTTTATTTTCTTTCCACTTTTTTTTGCACCTCGTAACCTGTACACATGACTGTACAGGTTGTGAACCTGCTGCCGAGGCCGGGTGAGGCCTCCGGGCACCTGTCAGTTGCCTGGTGGGGGCTGAGTACACTTGATGTGATGACGGCTTCCTACTCAAAAAAATGAGAGGAATCCAATGGTACAACTCCCATATCTTCAACTTGAAAAATGGGGGAGTTGGGCCATGATGCCTGGAATATCATGGCTGTTACAGGACAGAAAAGCAAAGAAAAATTGAGGCACAAAAAAAAAAATTGGGATCCCAGGAGCTCGCGGCAGCAAGCTTTCTGGGAACTGCTGTAGGGTGTACTGTGTGACAATGGCCACGTTTTCCAATTGGATAGCATTGGTCTAGAACATTCTACATGCATCCTATTGGGATAAGCACATATGGTGTATCACCCCTGTCTGGAAATGCTCTTATATGAAACAAAAGCCTGCAACCAAACAAATGTTCCTCAAACCATGTTGGTTCATATATCTCAAACATGTCACACAATCATCCACTTTCCATCTTCTTGTGTTGTTTTATTGTGTCAAACTTTTGGGTGGAGAATTCCACTTAGGGCCTGTACCATAGGAGTCAGAAAAACAGGGTTTTACTCCAAAATCATTCCATGCACAGAAACAGGTACCACAGTGCCCATTTTTTTTTGGCAAATCAAATAATTGATGTTTCCCACAATCCATCATTTTGGGGCCTGACCCTGTTTTTTTTTTTTGATCCTTTTTCGGGGTTCTCTCAATGTCCCCATCACTACTGCTCAGTCATCATCCACGGCAAAAAGGGGTTGTATTAGTTTACAACCCCCCGTGATAATGTTGCCCCGAGGTGACCAATATAACATTGGTCTCCTTGACCAATTTTATATTGGCCAGGCCCATCAATACATTTTTCCTTTGTTCTAATGTATCGGTGGGCCCGACCCAATATAAAATCGGTCAATCAGACCGATCTTACATTGGTCGCCTCCGGGCAACCTTATTGCGGGGGGATGTAACTGATACAACCCCTTTCAAAGTGATCTCACATATCAACAGATATCAACTCCACACATACTACACTCATCATCATCAACATCATGAATTTCATTGACCCCACATTTCTCACAGGAGACATCCTTCCCCCTGCTCTCCCCTTTTCACCCTCACCTCCACCTCCACTTGCAACCCAACCACATCTGGACCACCAACCAAAGAAGTTCCTTACTTGAGTTTATTGCATCACAGAATGACACTGGCCACAAAACTGATAACAGAAACCTCAAGAAAAAAGGGCGGTCAGTTGTCATCAAGAAGCTCAACTTGAAGCATGGACTCAATATCACCGTGGGACAAGCAAAGAACTAAAAAAAACCCAGCTTCAGAAATTGTTTGTTGACTACCAATTCCTCTGAAACCAGAGCAGCTTTGAATGGGATAAAAATATATCTACTGTGACCACTGATGAAAGTACATGGACAAACTATTTGATGCTCATCCCCAGCATGAATTCCCCAAATTGGGGGACAAGCCATTTCCATTGCACACTCTTGCTCTCAGTGTCTTTGAGGGAACAGCTGCATCCAGTGAAAGTTAAACTGCACAATCACATCTTTTTCCAGCTACAACTGATGCATTCAAATTACAATCTCCTTCAAAGAGAAAGACTGTGACTCTCAACAGCAATGATGAGGAAGAAAGTGAGATTGAGAAACATCTCTCAAGACTGCCACCAAACATGTACACAAATTAAAAAAAAAACTCTGTTATTCAATCTGAAATGGAAGGTATAAATGGTGCCATCAGCCCTGTTTCTGAAACCTCAAAGGAGCTCATGGGTGCTTTCTCAAAGGTTGCCTCAGCAATCTCAAAAAGCCAACTTGAAGAGGAGACACAACCAATCAATTTAGATTCAACCAACTTGGCTAACAACTCAAGCTTTGTATCTTCCCAGCCATGCCTAGCAACTTCAGCTTTGGAAAGAGCACTCAATGTCTGTGCTGAGAAGTTTCTTGGACATGTGCCCAATGAAATGTATGTTGAATTCATATTCCTCCTAGAAAACAAGACCAAGACCTTCACGTTCCTCACACTCAGCCATCATTCAAATAATCACATCTGTCAAATATGGCTTCAGAAGGAAGTCAGTAAAGGAAAACAGGATTTTCATCAAATCCTGCAAATGGATGACTTGTTCAAAAAGATTCTTTGCTACATTGATCAGTTTTAATTGGATGCTCAAAGATTTTCTTTGTTTTTAAGTGATCTCTAGCACCAGGAAAAAAGATTCAGCACCCAATAGTGGGTGGCTTTGTTTATCCCAGCCCTATCCTGGATTTATTATTGACTGTATATATACTCTACATCTGTCATATCCATGATTTTATCTTTTAAGGTATCCTATTAGAGATTAAAAATAGAAAATGGCTTTTGTATGTCATATTCTTTTTATCCTGGGAGGAAAACGTTTTTGCTTAACACATCATACCTTTGAACCAATATGATCATTGAAACAGGTCAAAAGCCTGTCATAGGTATACCATAAGAAAAGATCCCTTGAGATTAAAACAAGCTAACCAGGCCAAGAATTTATCATCTTGTAAGAAGCTTCTGCTTGTTTATATTTGTGAAAATTAACTCTTCTCTAAGAAATCAATTTTCAAAATTAAGCCAAAAAGTATGGTGATTGATATGGGTGGATTACTTGGGTCCCCTTGGCAAACAAAGAACTCCCAGTGTTCCAATATCTGGATTTCCTCCTTTATCTTCTCCATCAACAATTCTGTAGATTATAACCATCCCATTCTTTCAACCAATGAATAAACTCAATAAAGAAAAAGATTAATTTATTATGGTTTTTCATTGACTGCTTGGTCTTTTGTAGCTAATTCATCATTCATGTCTTTGTAAACCTTGAAATTTGGTTTTAACTTCCCCAGCTCAACAAGCTTGGCTTGAGCTAAGACACTTGAATGTTTACATTCTATCAAAAATCTGCATTCTTTGCTCAACTGAGTCTCCTCTCCATTTTTTCCTTTCTGTTCCAAATAACTGTACTGATGCCAAGAATTAATAGCTGATACTTCAACTTTGGATAGATCCATGATAAGCAAGAACACTGTTTCTGGTGTCATAGAACATTTCCCCAAAGATTTGAGACAGATCTGAGATTAATCTCCAGAAAAATCCAAATTACACAAGGACACAACAGCTCATCTCTGATAATGGGTTCATTCTGACTTCTGATTATATCCTGACCTGTAAAGAGAACTATCATTAGTACCTGGTGGATTGGGTAAACCAATGAAATACTAAGCATTGGATTGCTCATCCAATCCAATATACACTTGGCTCATTTTTGTGGATTGGGCAAAGAATCCAATCCAGTTAAAATGGCATGACTTGGGTTAGATTGAGCCAGTTGCATCTTTCCTTCTGTGGCATGTTATATTTATTCAGCTCAAACAAAAAGAGAGCTACCTGCTGTGTAAATTTGGGTTGATTTTTTCAGATCCCCTCAGGTGAGCAAGGGGACTTTTTTAACAGGTGTGATAATTTTACAAATCATGTTTGGTGGGTTTCAAGCCTTGTAAGAGTATTTTTTTGTATGGTGGGGGGGATAGATTTGCAAGGCTTCAAGATCTTGTGCACAGGTATCCCTGTAACAGGAAGCCTTGCCAAATATATTGCCATGGAAGATTACCCCCAAGAGGCCAGCAATTTTTGGGGGGAGTGCAGGCATTGCACTCCCTTTATTCCCGGGCTAAACAAATATGTGTTCAGCCCCTGGGCTATCTTATAGGACCCAGGCCTGGGTCCTATGGGATAGCCCAGGTGTCATTGAAAAAAAAACTGGCTCGGAGGAACCCCTCCCAGCCCCCAGACCATACAGTCTTGAGGCCAGGAGGGATTCCTCCCAGACCCAAGACTGTTCAGTCTCAAGGCCTGGAGGGGTTCCTCCGGCCTTGAGACTGTACAAGGTCTCAAGGCCGGGTCCTGTCCCCTTGAGACTGTGCAGTCACAAGGCGACGAGGTGCCGCCTCGCCGACTGGCAGGGAAACCCTCCGGTTGACGAGGTACAAGTACCTTTTCAGCCGGAAGGAAGCCCTTCCAGTAGACAAGGTAAAAGTACCTTGTCAATTGGAAGGAATACCTTCTGGTGGACGAGGTACAAGTGCCTCGTCAATCAGAAGGTCTTCCTTCCGGTGGACAAGGTGGATGTACCTCGTCCACCGGAAGGAAGACCTTCTGATTGACAAGGTACTTGTACCTCGTCCACAGGAAGGTATTCCTTTGGTGGACAAGGTACATGTACCTTGTCCACCGGAAGGAAGACCTTCTAGTTGATGAGGTACTTGTACCTTGTCCACCGGAAGGTATTCCTTCCGATTGACAAGGTACTTGTACCTCGTCCACCAGAAGGTATTCCTTCCGATTGACGAGGTACCTCCACCTCGTTGACTGGAAGGTCTTCCTTCCAGTCAAGCTATGATCATTTCTTTGTTAAGCACGCCATGCTTAATCCAGGTTTGGTAAGACCGGCGTGCTTAGCCTTGCATGGTGATAGCTAAGCTCCAATTCCGCTATGATTGTGTATTGTTTAAGCACGCCGTGCTTAAGCCAAAGTTCATATAGATGAAGAGCAACTTTGAGTATCATCTTTGATGTTTCAAAACTACAGCACACTGTCAACAATATTAGTCTCATATTAATTAAGGCTTTTCTTCATTCAATTCAAGTTGTTTTAGATTAAAAAAAATGAACTTGAGAGGCCAAAATAGCGGCAAAAAGTAACATGAATAATCAAATTCAGTTTTTGCTTAGCACTAAGCTGTATACTATTACTGCACAATGCAAGAATTATTCATGTAAAATTCACACATATTTTTCAGGCAAGAATGAGAAAATTGAATTCTTAAAATGATGCATGGGTTTTGGGCTCAATGAGAAATAATTAAAGACATGATGTGTTGCAAAAAGATAAGAAAGACATGTTCTTTAAGGAAATCACAATGTGGCAGTCAACCACAGCACACCAGGCCATCATTGATTGAATCGTGAAGATACTGAAATTTCCTCTCAGAAAAAAAATAAAAATTCCAGCAAAAGGATTATATTCTCTTATCTGAACAGCACAGATCTCATTAGTAAAATGAGGGTAATCTTTTCCTGGAAACACTCCTCATATTTTTTCTGTATGATTTTGATTTATCCCCCTTCAATTATGGATGACAAAGTTTGAAGAGGGTACTTCTTTATTACCTTAATTGCTATTCTTTGAAACCTCTCAATAGCTTCTCCCTTAAAATTACAAAATTGCACTGAGTTTAAATGCTCAACTGTATCAATTTTGTGTCAAAATCAAGGGAATCAGCTGTGAGAAAACTATTGATTAGTGTGAATCTGCTACAATTCACTGCTTGTGAATGAGTGTATATGGGGTTTATGTAAGTGTGCAATCTTTTTGTTTTGGAAAAATTCCCATCATCAAATATTCAAACAAATTCAAGCCATCCATACCAACTGATCAGATTATTATGGTACCTCTCACATTGAATCTCTGCACAAAAGAAAAATGAACCAAACTGATTAGTTTCCACACTTGGGATTTAATCAAGTCTTTCCTCCCAGAATAAATGGCACACCACTTCTGTATCTCCCACTGATCTCTGACTATATATGGAGATACAAAACGGATACACTGAGCTTTATTTTAATATTTTATTTGGATAAGAATTGAATACACCAAAGAAATAATAAATTTCAAATTGACATGGACATGTAAAATCTTATGAGACATCTACTTCCCTTATTACATATGTATTGCAACATTTCAATTCTTCAATCTGATTGAATAAATGCACTAGCACTGTGATAAGGGCCAACAGGAAAACTAAAATGGTATTTTAATTTTTTTGAGCCACATGTTTCCTCAGATCTTATTTGGAATGTGGAGTTTTTTTTTGGCTGCATAAAAAACACATATTTTTTAATCTTTGAACTGTATTTGTTTGGGACGAGATTATTAAATTGAAATATTAAATAAAATCAAAAAAATCCCAAGAATTCAAAATGTTCAAATTGGCCTAAATTTCTACAAAATTTAAGAATTTATCCTCCCTGTGATTAGATCTTGGGAAAAAAAATGAATTTTGAGACTTTGCTTCATTATGGTCTTAAGGTAGAGTACACTCTCTATCTTTGTCTTAACAATCAAAACAAGTTCACAAAGATCACGACCAAGTGATATAAGATATTTTTTCTCTTTTAATCATGCTTTAGAAACCTGGCAGTATGTGTATTGGATATGATTGATAAGGATGTTCATAAGAGGAACAAAAAAGGGGGATTAAGAAAGATCCAGAAAAAGTAATCAGCTCAATTAAGGGCTACTAAATTTTACAATTCAACCAAGACTCCTGATTTTAATCAGGAACACAATTTAATTCTTCACAATTCACAATTCACTGTTTCAATTTCTTTTTTTTTTTAATCTGTGAAGAGAACAAGCAGAAACAGGGGGTTTTCTCAAAATTACAACTTACAGATGAGTAATACCTTCAAGAAGATTTATGCCAAACTTTTCCAATCAAATGTTTAAATATCAATTTAGTGTTGACTTTGGTCAAGCTTCTTTATTTTACCACATCTTGTTTCAGTGAAACTTTGAGGTTTATATAATTGAAAAATATACCACTGGGATAATTTTGTGTTCTTCTTTTGATTCTGATTTTTTCCATTGTTTGATATTCAAATGATCAATAAAATCATAAACATCACTTATTTGCTTAAAAATATTTTGATTCTTTCTCTCTTGTTTGGAGTTTTGAATCTAGATGTAGATCTAGTTGAATGACTGTTGAGTACACTTTTCATAAAATTAAAATCTCTTTTTTCTTCAAATCTCAGCTACTTGACAGTAATATTTCACCCCTTTTGATATAAGATAAAAATCTATGTAGAAAAAAGGGAGTGTAGAAAAGAGTGCTCAGCCTCTAGTCTCATGTGCATTATCCAATCTGAATCAAATCTTACTTATACTTCTTTGATAACAGATCTCTTTATGAGCACTAATAGTGAGAAATTTTCCCTTTGCAATTCCACTCCCAAGTACCATTCCCCACATCATCCTGCAGTACATTCAATCCCTGGTCTCAAAATAGATTTTATAATGGGGTGAGTTTATATCAGAGGAAGACTAAGGCATGCATTTTGGGTAGATTTTCCCCCTGGATATTTGTCTAGTGTGTGTTAATTAATGTGGTAGAAATGAGAGAAATCAAACTCTCACCATAAACACCATCCCATTAGACACGGTGTTTTGGATTGAATGAAAACTGGTCTACTTTCCTACATTGAATCATGAATATGCAGTTCAAAATTCTTCTCAGATTGATTTCAATTTAATTTATCTATCAAGAAAGATTTCAGGCAATTCTGGAATGAAAATAGAACCACACATTAATGAATTTTAGTTGATCAAACCATCAAACTTCTTTTTTTTTAAAAAAAGTGCTAAATGTGAGAAATTCTTCTCAGAGACTTATCTTTTGCAAAAAATACTATGTTATGATTCAAAAACCTTTGGAGTTGATTGGCAGGAATTTGATATGTCCACAATTTTTGGGAGTTGAATCTATTAAGTTTAAGAATGGTCAGAAGTGAAACCACTGTTTTGAGGTTACTCCTCTGTGGATGATCAATACTGTACATTCCTTTGTACCTCAAATTTACCTCAACACCATGGAGTTAACTTTGTTGTTCAATCTTCACAGAAATGAATTTCCTTATTTCATTTACAAAAAAAAATTATCCACAACCTTTGGTACTGAGTTGATCTCTCACATTTCTTTGATGAAACAGGGAAATCCACCTCATACAGAACTCTTCTTCATGAAAAAAGATTAAAGTACTGAATTCATGTAATTTCCAACTAAAAATAATTTTCAAATACAATGAATTTGCACTCAAGCCAGATTGTTTTGAATTTACTGTGATGAAATTCATAATCAAATTGAATATAAAGAACACCATGAGTCTTTCGATTGATAAATACCCCAATCAAGGAAGTAAAGAGGAAAAAAATTGTTAGTATGAATTATGTAGAATATCATGCAGGATTCTTATGGGTAGAATAATTGATGAGGATTGCAAAAACACACAATGAATGAAATTGGATTGTTCAGAAACTTCCTATGTAGGGAGAAAAGCTCAAAAATCCATTTGAGAAAATAAAGTGAACTCACATCTCATTCCCCAAGTGTTATACCCAACAAGCATTATGTTGATATAAAAATCAAACCAATAAAATAAAATAAGATAGAATAAAATAAGATAAAATAAAATGCTGAAATTTTACATTTACTGGCTTTGAACTGGAGTGCTTATCTATTCAGCTTCCGCAAAATTGCAAAACTACTGATATTTTGAAGTTTAATCAATGTGTGCTGTACTTAAGGGAAAATTTACAGATCTAGAAAAACTTAATAAGTTTTTAATAGCCAAAAATTGTGCAGATTGGACCAAGATTTGAATTTGAAACAATACTTGGACTGGTAGTGATATTAAACTGGAACCTTCTCACATTACGTGTCTTCTGCATGAGTCCCAAATCAAATCAAGGCTTGGCTTGGTATACATGTGAGCTTCTGAATCTTAACAATATTTCATGATAATTGCATTTTCCTAGTTTTTTATTGAAAGAAGATGAAATCCAATGAATTGATAATGTACAGTCACATCTCATTTTTTACCAAGCAATAGATATCCAAGCTCAACAGAACCCAAAACTATGTTACACCATTATGTTTTTATCTCAGTTCCATTATGAAATTCATGGTTAATAGTAAATTTTGAAATCAATTCTCAACTGCATACTTGTTGGGTATAATTGTTGAAAAATCATTTGAAAACTTGGGGATAGTTCTGGGATAAAACTGAGATAGAATCATTGATATCACATTTGTATGCTATTGTTGCAACACAGATGGACTTTGAGATACCCATGGGATACAGCAAAGCCACCCAATAGTGGGTGCCTGATCCTTTTTCCTGGTGTAGATTATCTCCTAAATTGGTCATGTTGCTCCCCTCTGTCTGTACTCAACTCAGCTTACCTATCAACACTTGAACCTCTATCTTTGAATGGTCTCCAATCAACTCAGATTACCTGTCTATACTTGAACTATCTATCTTTGAATGGTCTTGCTGTCAGACACTGAGACACTAGCCCATGTGTCTACAAAGAATGTAACCCCTTCTAGGCTACATAATGATAAATATTGTTATGTGTATTCTTTAAGTTGATAAGTATTTATTCATGTTATTCTTTATTATATGTATTGTTTAAGTTAATAAGTATTCTTTAAATTAATAACAATTTACCTCCTCTTTATTAATTTACCCCTCTCATGAAAATCATAATCAATTTGAAAAGGATAATTATCTCTTGTGTGTATCCAAGAGATAATGATCCTGTTTATCTCTCTTCTGTATATTATTATCTTGCTTATCTCTCTTGTGTATCTTCTGGAATAAGAGAGATATTCAACACATGTACATTTAGCATGCTTTGAATATCTTGACACTTTCACCCATAGGAATAGTGTAACAATAAAGGGACTGCACTGGTCCCAGCAGCAGTTTGACCCCTGCTCTGTCATATTTAAGAGGATCACTCTTTCCCTGAGATTCATCCCCCAGAAAATTATTAACATACAAACCTAAGTACCTTACTATATTTGAGAGGTGTCAAGTGTTGTGGTATCATCCATTTTGCATAAAAATCAAAGCTGTAAATTTTACCATATGAGCTTACCCCATTTCTTGCATAATTTTTACCAGGCACAAATTTTATTTTTATGCAAAATGGATGAGACTGTTGGAATATGATTCCTTGTCTTAGCCCTCAAAAGAGGAGAATATCAGGTAAGTTTATCATATGATTGATACTTCATTAAAATAAGATTTGCATTGTGCTGATTGTGAAATTTGTGATAATTTGCAGAGATAAACTGTTCAATAAGTGAACAAGAGAAAAGCAAGATTGTAGCTTGTGAATCAAGTAGTGACATCAATGACATCAAAAACAAAGATAATAACAATGATCTTGATCAATCATAAAGCTCTAGGCAAGTATCAATTGATTGAATCATAGAAGCAAGAATCAGAACAAAAGAGCAAACAAGTTCTACTTCTTTGTCTCCTCAAATATGATAAATTATTATCTTTAGTTTACACGCACACAAGTCTATCAAAATCAAGCTTATCAATTGAAATTTTCCATCGTTAATTGGTGAGTAAAGAAGAGACCTCGTTGCCTTTTTCTCATGTTAGAAAAAGAGAAAGAAGCAATCAACCAAGAAATTCTGAATCTGATGAATTTGCATAATTGAGCAAATAGTATTACTCAGTCGCCACCCAAAGAGGAAAATCTTCTTATTTCTTAAAGTAAAGTATTTTTTTTCCGTTGATATTAGAGCAATGATAAATTCTATAGAAAAGGCTAACAATGTAATGATCTTCTGATAAATTATTCAGCTAATAAAATTATTATCTGAATATTAAATAACTTATCCAAGGTCATTTTTCTTAGATTTATCAGATTTGTTCTGCCTTCAGCTATTTCTCTATTTCTTTTATCCTTTCATCTAAAAATTATCAATTGTATTTTATTAAAAGAATACATACTTATGAATAAATATAAATTACATTTGGTTCCAAATTCTTTCAGAGAACATCAATTTTGGCACCTCTCAAGATGTAGGAAATTAGTTTAAAACTTAAAAAAAATAATGAAAATTAAGCCTAAAATTAATTGAAAAAGGGGATTGATAAATGTAGCCACTTTTTCTGCTATCCACACCCAGTTTTTCACACCTGCTTTTCTGCTTTTAAACCCGGGTTTTCCCAGCCTTTTTGAATTCACTTTTTGGGGATTTCGAATATGCCAAAAATCATCTAAAATTCAGCATTCTTTTTTGGCATGTCCAAAATTCACAGGAGACCATTCAAATTTTTTATTTATTTTCCTCACCCATTTTTCCCCCAATTTCTTTTCTCCCTATGGCTTTTCTAAAACTTAAAGTATAGCTAAAACTTGTTATCAATTCTGAAACTCTCAATTTTTTTCTTCATAAAGATGGCACCATTAAAGATACTCCTTATTTTGTCCAATTGCTTACTACTTAAACCAACAAAATTGAGATTTCCAAAACAAGATGAAATTTGATTCTTTATCTCCAATATGTAATTTGTGTATTTGGCACTTGCTTATTTCCTCCCTCTCTCTCTCTCCCTCTCTCTCTCTCTCTATGGGGACTGCCAGGGTTATCATTTATAACCATATCGTCACCCAGCTTTATAGGATATTTCATATCATCATTGGTCCTCTGCCTGACATAACTTGGTGTCCCCATTCCTTATCTTATCTTCAAAGAACATGTTATTTGGGCTCAGCATGATGGCATGGTTAGCTGGCTATCTGATTATGAGAAGACTTTTGAATAATTTGTGTGGTTTGATCCAGGTTTTTGAATTTGATTGGCAGGGGGAATGGGCAAGAGAATGCAGGAACTTGGTCCAGGATATTTATACATATTGCAAGTAAGAGTGAAAATGAAGTAAGATGGGATAGGGTTAACAAATAACACCCATGAAGAGTGGAAAATTTCAGACAAGGGTTGACACTGTCACCCTTTATAGATGCATGTCAGGTGTTTGGTTCCCCACAAACATATCCAGGATGCACGCAAAATGTTGAAAAAAGGGGACATACACTTGCTCACCCAGATCCTTTTTGAGAATAGTTGTCCATCTACATCTCATGGAAGATTTTATGTTTATTTCCTGCCCCCAAAAGCTCTATATTGTGCAGTGCTTCAGACCACCTATCACTTGAGACTCCAGTTAGTCATCACAGTTGGTGGTGATTATAGCCAAGTGGTGGCAGGTAAAGAACATGTAACAGGGCAAAAAAGTAGAGTTTGCACTATGTTCTTTTACATATCCCCCACCCCCCCTCTAACACAACTCATTGGCGCGTCACCCCTGTGCCTGGAAAAGGCGCGCACTTGCTAGCAGGGTCGGAGACGCGCACCTGCGCCGTCAACCCTATTTCAGACCGAGAGAATACTGTTCATACAAAGAATTACGCGTTGGCATCTCCGTTTTTCGCAACGTGTTGTGCGACCAAATTGAGTTTTGATGGATGTAGATAAATGACTAAAACGAAGTGTAAATGAGTGGATTGTTTATGTGATCATCGATCTATGTACCCTGTAACTATAATCTACCGTATTTTGTTTACTCGATTTTGTTTCCGTTATGTAGTCCGAGTCGGAAACCGAAAGACAATGAAGGAACCAACGGACTTTGGATTATTGTACTACTCTAGTGTTGACAAGACTGTGTTCTGACTGTGTAAGTAATGTCCGCCCCAGCGGTTACACTGCCTCTTTCCGCACAAAACTAGCCCGGCCTTTGAATGGGATCGGTTCAACCCATTCTCGTTTCTGCCAGGGTTGTTCAATTTCTGTCCTTGAGCTCAACCTAGACACGGGTTATCGCGCCGCCTCCAAGAGGCGCGCCGATTAAAGTCAGAAAGAACGAGAGTGAGCATAAGGAAGGACTGCTCCCCCGACCCTGCCTCTGCACGCGATAGACTTGGGGGAGCCAAGAGGTGTGCTGCCCTTTGGTCAGCCTAGAGACAAAGGGCACACATGAACGCGTCTTGAGATGGTCCTCGCTGCGATACTGTGTCGTGATGACGCACGCTGCGACTGTCTCCCCGCCGTCTCCTGTGGAGAGCGAGGGAGAGGAAATCTACAGGATACGGAATACGCGATGATGATCCCTCTTCCAGAATGCTTTCAGAGAAGCCCGTGGGTGGCCTATCCCGCGGACTGGCTTGGGTTGCGAGGGAAGCTTTTGGAGTGATTTGGACCCGGGCCCGCTGCTGAGCTCGCAAGCAGTCGCAAGCTTTAGCAGGACAGGTTGAGGGAGCTCAATGATCATCTCCAGGCGCCGAAGAGAGCGAAGTCTCCACCCTGGAAGAATTTTCCTCGGGCATCGATTTGTCCCCCAGGGCGGAGCTAGTCATTGACATCACTGCCCGCCCGCGGCTGGTCCTTGAGAACACTCCATGGTCGAGGCCGGGACAATGTCGGCCATGGAGAATAAGCCCTTTCGATGACCGGTGAGGCCTGATCGCGAGTACTCTCTCTCTCGATAGTAGTATCCGGCCAGTGAGAGATCACCCCCTGTGGATAGTCGAATTTGGGCATCGAAACACTTCCTCCGGACGGCCGATCTGAACAGGCCTGATTTCGAAGGTTGAGTCCCTCTGGATGACTGGTGTGATTGTGAACTAGTCTTTTAGAGCTGTAGTCTGCTGTAGTCCTTCTCGATGCGTGATCTGAACCGTTTGTTGAGAGCTGTATGACAAACAGTCTATCTCGACCCAGCCTTACCTTCGGTGAGCTGCCGAATGCCCTGTAGTAGTACCGGCTTGGGCGGCTGCTACTCTACGTGCCAACTTGCGACGCAGCTCGTCGCGGGACTCATCTTCGACGAGCTGGCATGTCATGTGTGCGTCGTAGGAAGGACGGCTTTGGGGCGCCTAATACCAGAGAGGAATCCATGCTTCCCAGCGGCTGGTCACCAGCTCTTCGGCGGCGGCTAGTAAATAGACCAGTACTCTGCAAGAACGCGGCTTTATAACTGACCTGTTACAGAAATAGTCGCCTGACAGGCGGCGAGGGGATAGTGCCCCCCCAAATGGGGTTTTAGAAGTTAGAGCCAAAGTCGCGTCCTGAGATCAACAGACGACGTGTATTGATGGTCTGCGAGACGTCAATCAGCTGCGAGGGTGACGTCGTTCACATTATTGAGGCGACAGAATTGATTCTGTAGGCCCGACCGTTTCAAAGACTGATGCTCTTCGGATATCCCCAGCCGATGTTGAACTGGTGGATGACTTGATGATAAAGTAGGCCATCTTCAACCTACTGGGGACACTGCTCAGCCAGACTTTTGGCACAGTCTGAAGGAAACTTAGACGCGGAAGAGACAGGTTTTTTGATCACAGCATACATAGACCAGGGGTTAGGACATGGAGATAGTCTGTAGAAGGCTGCAAGAGTTGCATTAAGGAAACTTGCCAAAGCTGAGTGGCTTGAGAGGGAAATGCCGGATATACCCGCACAGGCTGAGTTATGTAGCTCGATCGAGAAGCTCGCAGACCCAGGATTCGGGGTGGAGGATGAGGGTCAATGCAGCTGATGATGGATGAGTTTTGAGAGCTCGAGCTTGGATTGATTTGGAGCCCAAGAGAGTGTGCGGGAGCAGATGGATGATATTGAATAAGAATGTAAATATGTGATGATATTTACTAATTGTCAGACGAGTTTGAAGGTGAATTTTACAACGGTTTGGCTATGAAGCGCGACACGATGGTTCGACAAGACTGAGTATGGATAAGGATTGTTGAGCGAATTTTAGGGGCTTAAAAGAGCAACTGGAAGGGCACCGAGTAGTTGAGGGGAGATCCTGGTTGAGACGGATGGAAGGAGAAGTTAAGTTAGTCCAGCTAAAAGGCAGGCTCGGGGTTGCAGAGCAGTTTGTTGGTTGACGTCTTTCGCCGGATTCGCTCTCTCAGCTCTTCATAAATTTCTTCCGCTCGGCCCCAACAACTCACACAAGAGACCTTCATGATCACACTACAAGACGGCTTTGCAGAACAGGGCCAGTACTACAGTCCATGAGCCCCGCTGGTTTGCAGATAACTTAACTTGCAGACTCAGTCACCGCCTTCCAAGTTGAGTGAGTCCTCCTTATACAAATGATCGAACCCGAACGAGTCTCTTCTTCCTCCCTCGGAATGGGTACATCCTATCCTATACAAAATAAAAAACAAAGCCAACCAAATCAAATTTAGTGTTTTTTTGGTTGATGTGTGTGCTCACAGTTGAATATTGTCACTACTTGCGAACTGATCAATCAGCTCGAGGGGACTGGAAACAGATTAAAAACATCCTACTCGACACAACCCCACACACACCAACCACACTCAACAAAGGGGAACACCTCAACCCACCCACTACCACACTGCCACTGCCACTACGAAATCCTCCTTCCTACCTCGAGTCACACTCCTGGTGTTAAGACATTGTATACCGAACTGTATATCTTTCAGTAGGGTATGTGTGTTGTGTGTGTTCCAGCATCCTGATGAGGATGTCTGATGCTTGTTTGGTGCCTCAACTCTATTCAACCCTCCTCTGATCTTGACTTGTTCCTCGTTTCCTACCAACTCATCACTTCGTCCTTTCCTTCACATCCTAAGGATACTTCCTCTCTCTCCTCTCTCCCCTACATGGTCTGTTCGCTCTTCGCTTCCCTCCACCCTTGACTCACACAGTTGCGTTTGCTAATATATAAATATGTACCTTTCAAGCAGTCTCTTTATCCTTACCTTGATCTTGACTCATCACAGCTGCCTGCCCCAACTCTCTCGCGGCTGAAACTATCGAAAATCACCCAAGCGAAATGAAGAAAAGACCCGAGTGAGTCCCTCTTCCCCCTTTCTCTCTCGCCCCTCCCCTGGCTACAGAACAACTCACCTCACACATCCTTCCTCTGTCGGCCACAGTGGTGCCAAAGGCTACCTCGAAGGGCCTGACCCCTATCGCACCAAAACCAGAGACGGAAAAACAATCCTCTGCTTCGCCTGTGGACTCGGGCCTTCCGCCCTCAAAAGACTGCAGATCATCGGCTGTGACGCCTGTGATGCTCACTTCCACCTCGAATGCTTGAATCCTCCGCTCGTCACCCTGTCCTCCTTCCCATCCAAGTGGGTTTGTCCATTACACATGGATAAAACCCTGGTCAGCCTAACATTCCTCAACCACACACACACACACACACATTCACACTCATTCACTGACCTCTCTCTCTCTCTCCACAGCCTTGTCGTCAAGCCGCTAAGGAATCCAACACTATCCCTATCAATACACTCAATACCCCCAACAACGGTGACATCGACGTTGTAGTCACTCCTCACAATCGAACAAAAGCAAAACCCGTGGAGGAAATCATTATCAACCGTGTCAAGTACCAGGTCCCAGAAAATATCATCATATTAGACTTCTGGGCTAAACTGAGTAAAGACCAGGAAGTGTAAGCGTACCTCATCGAACTCACCATCCGATCCTGTGACGTGTCACCTCAAAACACATACTCTTGCAATAACGAGCAGTCGCTGATAGATTAAACCTCTCTCTGACTCCATTCAGTTCCAAAACAGCATCCCAAGACCCTCCTCTGACACGCGATGGTTTGCTTCCTACTCCCACCCACCAAGCCTCTACATCCGCCTCCGCCTCGCCAAAGGATACAAGTCTGGCACCAGCAACCAATACTTCACGAGTAAGCATGTTTGGTCTCAATACATATCTTTTAGTATCAATTTACTTATTGCTTTAGTTGCCTCTCCACCCGTAGGAGGATGTCGAATCCCACCCCTCCTCAACAGATTCACACGTCCCGTTGGCCTCCTTACCTCCGCCACCGCGTCCCTCCACAAGCACGGCCCTACCGACAGCTCGTTCTGATTTCTCTTGCCTCTTACAGGCCGCTCAACAAGTCAATCAAGCACAAACATCTCAACAACCAACAGAAGGATTGGCTCTCCTCGGAAATGCAGCATCCCTTCAGTCACCAGTCACATCCACCTTGCGTAGGATTCACAGGAAAAAAACAAACGGTTTACCTCCTCGCACCCGGACCCGTGGCTCGGCTCGGTTATCAAAGTCGGCTCCAGCTCCCTCTGAACTACCTGCTGAAATTCCTGAAATTGAGACTGCTCAGAGATTACACACACCTGAAAATCAGCTTGAAGCTAAATCAAAAACGTCGCTGCCTAGATCCTCAGATCACTCAAGAGATGTTGCAGCAGCCCCACCTTCAAATGACACCTCTGCTGCCACCACCACCAATCAGCCCGTCACGCTTCAAACATCAGAAGGCATCAACCGCCCACTCGGCCGAAAGAGAAAGAAGCGCTCCACAGCTAGCACACCGTCATCTACAGTTCCCACTGATCAATTAGCAACTGAAACTAGCTCAAGTACTGTTCAGACTGTCAATAGCAACGTCGCACATCCCCCTCTACCTGTGATAAATGGATCCCCTTCGGACAAGACACCCAAGATTGTTCAGTCTGCCAACCCTGATAATACGCGCTCCGATCTTCCAACGACGAGCTCCATCGCGGGATCTGATAGTATCGCTTCAAAGGCTCCAATCACAGATAGCACTATCACACCATTCACTCCGCAAGGATCCAAGCATCAATCCACCCGGTCGGATTCGGCATCAGGAGCTGGCTTGGATAAGCAAAACCAATCAGGTAAGCATGCGGCTCGTCTTTCCTTCCAAGGGAGTCAGCTCGGCGGCTCATCGGCATCTTTTCATCAAGGAGAACAACCGACATCAAAGAGAACGACCGAAGGAGAACAACCGATTTCCGCACGGACATCACAGCCAGCAGTTTCATCAGGGGAACCAAGTTCTTCACGGACATCACATCCGGCAGGTATACCAGTAGAGCCGAATACATCACGGACATCGCAGCCAGCAGGTGTACCAGTAGAACGGAGTTCTTCCCGGACATCGCAGCCATCAGTCGTATCTGGGGAACCGAGGTCCTCCCGGAAGTCACAGCCAGCAGCCTTATCAACTTCCTCACCATCAAACAATCTACAATTTCCTTCTGTTCCCCCTATGGCATCCACGAGTACACCTGCACTGACATCCAGTACCACACGCCCCCACGCTTCACAGGCTACGATTGATGATCAAAATCTACATTCGCATTACTCACCAGAGTTTACACGTCCCAATTCTCAGCAGACTGCGAATTTCACGTTCAAGGGTGGAACAACTGCGCCATCAATTGCAAAAACCTCTCCGTTTGAATCTTCCAACTCAGGGGCATCAAATCATCAGCAAAGGACTCCTTCTGCTCAACTCCCACTATTCCCTCGCCCTAAAGAATGCCCATTGACTTCGACAGTCCCTCACGTTTCGCCTGTCCCAAAACAGAAAGAACCGGTACCGAGCGGAACTGGAAGTGTAACTCGTCCGCCAAGAAAAAGGGCCCGCCAAAACAACCATGACCCACTTTCCCACTCATCCAGCTCACCTCAGATATCCAAGACTGCCGAATCGCAATCTGTCACACCCAATCTTTCGGCAGCTTCCCAGCCATTTCCCAACACGTCCAGTATATCCTACTCATCAAGTATGAAGACTGCCGAATCCCAAACTATCGCGCCAAATGTCCATACAGTTTCTCAACCATTCCCCAGCACCTCTAATACATCACAATCATCAAGCATGAAGACTACTGAATCGCAAACTGCCACGCCAAACGTACTTGCAGGTCCCCAACCCTTCCCCAGCATATCACGCTCATCCATTAAAGGCGCGGACCTATCAAGCGGCAAGGCCACAGTTACTAGGGGCGATGTTCCAGGGCGGACGACCATCAACCGTGGACAAAAACCTGGGAAAGCTCAGATGAATAAGATGGTGACTCCGTCGTTGGCCTCACCAGCGTCTGGCTTGAAAGCGACCGCAAGTGGCTCAGCCAGTGTTGTACAAATGAAGCATCGGGATCCGGCCATTGCCGATCCACATCATATGTCAGCATCAGCCTCCGGTAGCATGCATTTGCCTGGGTCAACTGCCAGCCAGGAAACGACGAAGAACAGCCCTCCAGTGAATGGTTCTGTCTATGACAAGGCAAAGTCTGCCGAGAAGCATGTAGCCCCTCATCTCTTGTCACAATGCGCTCAGCAACCAGTCAGACTGTCCAATGACGCTGGTAGCCCTTCATGCAATACTTCACTTTCCAGCTCAACATCGACGACCAAAATGAAACGCAAGAAATCGGCCAAAAATCCAAGCCCTCCGTCACATCTTGTATCCAATGACCAAAGAAGAACGGCCGAGAAAGGGCAACACGATGATTTAGAAAAGTCGATGTCCGCCGTGCCACAAGACACTTCCCCAGAAGCTACGCGTGCCATCCCGCTTGACCCTCGTTTAAGCGCCCCGGTAGCCAACTATGAAATCCCCACGACGTCCAACCCACCGTCTAGGCCGGGCGATTCTATGGATAGTACGGCAACTTTAAGTGCCAAGATCTCAATCGCTCTTGCTAAATTTGAGAATGAGCAGAGCAAATTATCTGTCTCACCGGTGGCTGCGAAGCCCCCGCCGCGCAAAAAGGTCAAGAGGAAGAGTGCACCAGCTACTGGTAGTACGTTCCCAAGCACCGATGCTCACCCCATGGCTCGCGGGACCCCTCCGATCGGAAGCTCGGTATCATCGCTGGGTCAATCTATTCAACGTCCGGTTACCGCCACCTTCGTTCCACACCCACAAAACCCTCTGAGCCTGGTCCCCCAGCCTCAGCGGGTAGCCACCTCGATGGCCCAACCGCATACCTTCGCGTTTGTTCCGCATCCACAACACGGTCCAACCGTCTTTTCAGGATCAGAACATCATCAGCTTTCATATGTACCCCACCCGCAATACCCAGCAGGAACAGCGCTCAAGTCTAGCTCGCCATCGCTCGTCCTCGGTAGCCGAAACCATTCTCGCGAAGGCTCGAGCACTCAGAACCAGCCCCGGCGGGGAAGCCTGACTGTACATGGCTCCAGTCCTCCCCTCCTACCTTCAGCCGGCTCCCCAACCGTGGTCAGTCGCCCCTCTTCGGCAGTCGGAAATCCTCCTATGACCAATCCACGTGATCATAATGTATTCATTCCTTTGCCACTCACTAAGCCTGTTAAGACTACCCCCGACCCTTCCTCTTGGAAATAACATCCTCTATCGGACTTCCTCCTTTTGACTTGTTCCGTTTTTTTGTCTAGTCCCTTCTCTTCTTCCTTTTACTTCTTCTTCTTTTTTTTCTTTTAACTATTATTACTACATACTTTTTTTTTTCTTCGTTCTTTCTTCTTCTTCTTGCTCTTGTTTTGTCGATCGTCGGCGCTTGTTTCAATACATACACTCACATATATATATATATATATATTCAATTGCTACACACACGTATATATATATACTATATAGGTATATACATGGTTCAGACTACTTACTTAGTCCCCCAAATCAATTTCGCAGGACACAAAACACCAGATCGCGTTTCTTTGATTGTTTATCTGTGTGTGTGTGTGTTATCGTTGTCCAAATCAGGTGTTCACATGTAAGAAAAAAAAACCTAAACCTAAAACATGTGCATACATAGTACAGCTGTTCCCAAAAACCTTGCGGTTTCGGGAGTGCTGTATTTCAGAAGAAATTTTTTTGGTGCCTCTATTTTTAGCGCTGCTCTCTCCTGTACGTGGCCCTGTATGGCCACAGTACTTCAGGCAAGAGTACCCAACTCTGACATTTTTCCAGTTGAGGGTATGGAAGGTGGATCATTGTGATCCTCTCAATTTTTTGGTAAGGAGACGGTCAACACGCTGAGGCTTGCCCTCCCCTGCCTGGCAGCTGGCAGGCATCCGGATGCACACCAGGGCCTCGGCAGCCAAGTCACAACCTGTACTGTCATCTGTACAGTGGGGTAGACAGTGAAAAGTGGCTGGTTATTTTGGATTCCTGAGCTCTGAAACACAGACTTGAAGTCATGAGACTGGGTCAGGTGGTGGATAATAGGTCCCAAAAAATGAATATGAAATAATAAAAAGCAAAAAATCAAGTTTGAAAATTTGTGAAAAATAAAAAATAAAATCAATTTTTTTTTTTTTTCAAAAGCTTTGATATTCATTTTGGGGGAGTGAGAGTGCTGAGAGAAAGGAAGATTGGGATTTTGGAAAATTTTGGTTTCCAGATGGCTTCAAACAGCTGTTGAGTGGGGCATTCACCAGCCCACATTGCAGTACATAAAGCGCTAGAATTTACTGTTTTGGCTCCAATCTGGACAACCAACCTGGCCAAACCTTTTTTGATTCCTATTTCTTTCATAATCATTCTTCCCATCTTCCATTCTTTCTTTCTCTCAGCACTCCCACTCCCCAAAAATGAATATCAAAGCTTTTGAAAAAAAAAATCAATTTCATTTTTTATTTTTCACAAATTTTGAAACTTTATTGTTTGCTTTTATTATTTCATATTCATTTTTTGGGACCTATTATGCACCACTTGACCAAGTCTCATGACTTTAATCTGGTGCTTTGAAGCTCTGGGATCCAAAACAAGCAGCCAAAAACAACGGTCCACCCACTGTACATATTGTAAGCTTTCAACCGGATTTTTGAAGGGTGGGTGTCTTCATTGGCTGCTTTGCTGGAAATCCAGGGATCATTTTTGTTACTCAGACTCAGCGCTCAGTCCCTCTCTATCTCCCTTCATTCTTCTTTGTACTCTTATTTCAGTACCCATCTTTTCTTCTCCTTTCTTTCACTTTTTTTCTCCCCTGTTTTTTATTTTTTCTTTTTTTCTTTTTTGAGAAAAAAAAATGAATGAATGAGGAAGAAATTGATTATAATGGGGAGGTCCAACTTCCATGTGGATGTGACCTACATATGTATAACCTATAACAATTTTACTTATGTCTGAGAAAAAGATTCATAAATAAATAAAAAAAGGGGGCTTGGAAAAACAACTCCTAAATTTTAGTTGACAACTCCCATTTGTTGGTCAACGTTGAGAGGTCTGTCTGCTGACCACTCTTGGACCAACTGCGGACCCAGGGGTTGGTCCAGGGAGTCGTCGGACCAATTTCAATTTTTCTATGGGAGTCGTCTGCCCATTTTGATTTTTTCTTTTTTTTTTCTTTCTTTTTATTTTGGGGGGGGGGGGGAGTTATCTGCCCATTTTGAATTTTTTTATTTTTATTTTTATTTTTTCTTTTCTTATCTTTTTTTCAGGTTTGTCTGTTTTTTCCATTGGGAGTAGTCATGTTGCGGGAGTTGTTGACCTTGCTTTTTTTCCATCACATTTTGCCAGACATTTCTTCCTTCTTTCTGCCACCAATGACAAAACCCCAATTTTTATTTCTTTTCTATCCGATTTTTCTCATTTTGTCCCCTTTCAGTTACATAAACCAAGACTCTTTCCTGCCCCTCAGCTCTTGAAGGATTGGAAACAAAAGGCTCCAGAAGAGGCTTGGGGCAACAGTGCAACAGATATGAGACATGTATTTGACTTGTATCAGATTGTATTGTCTTTATTTTGAGCCTGATACCGGTATCAGTATTTTCTTGGTTGGTGAAAAAAATTTATTGTCTTGGATCCGGATTTACGAATGAAAAAAAATTGTCTTTGTTTTTTTTTTCTTTTTTCTTCAATACAGCCAGATATATTGTGTATCAAATACGGTTTTGGTGGGATCAGTCATCTGAGACCATACAGAATACTTGTCTCACTTTTCAAAGACGATACATGTGTATTGTCTCAGGAAAGTGAGACAACACAAATCCAGTATTTTTGGGTATTCAAATTCTGAGACGATACAAATAAACGCCTGATACCATCTCGTATCGTCTCTGTTGCACCGTTGCTTGGGGATGGGAAGCCCAGTTTTCTGAATGTTTCCAATTGACTGTAGAGAGGAAGATTGCAACTGCAATGCCCCACTACTAGGTTTTTTTACTGTGTCTTTTTTAATTCTTGATTTTTTTCCCTCCATGTCCCTTTTTTTTACATTTCTGATCAATTTTGAATGTTTTTTTTTTTCCTTTTATCATTTCTTTTATCCTTATCTTTGTCTCCCTATTGCTTTTCTCAATGAATATAGTTTTTCTCAGTGATAAGGTGCCTTTGGGGCAGGGTCTCAGTGGCTCATTTTTTTTTATGTCTCTGGGGTCACTAGGGTCTCAGTGGCTCAATTTTTTTATGTCTCTAGGGTCACTATATGGTGACGACTCCCATAATAATAAATGTAGGGGGCATTTTAGGCGGGCAACTCCCAATGTTTTTAATAACAAAAATAAATAAATATTTTTGCCTGAATTAGGGTGACAACTCCTGTTTTTTAGTCGGACGACTACCATTTTTTTTGATCAAAAAAATTGAAAATCTTTGGTGAAATTAGGGCGATTACTCCCTTTTTTTCTTGGAAATTAGAACAACAATTCCCGCCAACGACCCCTGGACCAAAACAGGAGTTGTTGACTAAAATTTAGGAGTTGTTTTTCCAAGCCCCTAAAAAAATTGGTCATCAATAATCAAGTAAAAAGAAAAAAAGGGGGTAAATAAAATCACCCAGCTAAACTCTGTCAATATTGGGGGGCAAATACTAGTACTTTTATAACATAAAATAAACTGTTGAACATCTGATGAAGAAAAGTACTGATTGGGAGTAAATTCCAAGGAAAAGGCAAGGATTTTGGAACAGTTGTATGGTTTTAAATAAGAGGTGTTCATGAAAATCCAGTGAGGATTTATCAAGATCAAGAGTTTGTTGTGCTCTGCAGTTTTCTTCAATCTCTAGGCTGAGATGGGCCGGGCCAAAAGAAACAAAAAAAGTGCTGAGCTGCAGCACCCAACCCGGAAATAGATGGGACAGGTTGGGTGATCAGGTCACCTTGTTTTTTTTTTTTTTGAGAGAGAGAAGGAGAAAAGTCGTATTCTGCCCTGCCCCAAGAAAGTCTTGATCATGGGTGGGTGCAAGCAGTGGTGGGCCGCTACGCTTTTGGCCCAAAAAGCGTAGCGTAGCGGCGCTTTTTTTGCGCCAAATTTTTGTAGTGTTAGCGCTTTTGTAGCGCATTTTTGCTACGCTACGCTGCGCTACAGCGCTTTTGGCGGAAAAAGCGACTAAAAACCGCTAAAAACGGCTGTAGCGCAGCGTAGTGGGCCCTTTTGTGTGGCCCACACGCGTAGCGCTAGCGGTGTCGTGGCGGAATTCCGCTACGCTACGCTTAACGCTAACGGGAATTCCGCTGCGTTACGCTACACTAACCGCTACGGTTAGTGTGGCGGCCCACTGTTGGTGCAAGTCATACAAAACCTGTGGCCCTTAGGGTTTATGCCAGCTTTCTCCTTCTTTTTTTAAGGCGGACAGGCCATACATTTCCAGGATGCAAGAGTGCAAAAAAAGCCTGTTTGAAGCAGGGGGACAGGAGAGGATTGGTGGACAGACAGCTGAATGTTTGGATTGCTCATGTAGGCTCTGGGTCCACCTATTTGAAGAATGTGGAAAATAGATCAGTAAGATTCTGAGGAAACAGTGGATTAAGTTGATCCATAGAAAGGTAGCCCATCCTGCCTGAGGAAAGTCTGTCCTGGCCCACCATGAGTCACTCAGGGGGATGAATGATGAGCCATCTATGATCTGGGTATCTATTCACCAGCACCCTGGCCCTCCCCAACCCAGATCCATGCCAGTTCTGGTTGATGCACAAAACTGACTGCACTTAAAGATAGTTTGAAATAACCTAACCATAACATCAGTTATGGCATGAGCATTGGTTTGAGTTTTGGTGGTTCAGTTTTGTGATATGTTTTGACAGTGATACATCTCATGGAGTATGTGAAGCAGATAAACATCTCCATCTGCAGGAATGACTGCACCTTAGGAGGGACTTTCAATTAGCAAGGGTCAATGAAGAAGGTGAAATTGTAATATTTCTAGTTGCTCAACAAAGGCCTTGGTGAATGGAACTGCTTGGAGGAATCCAAGGACCAATGACATCAGAATGAAATACAATGAGTAAGTTTATTGTAGTAGATACCGTGTCTGGTCTCTAGAAGATCCGCGACAACAATCACATGGTTGAATTTGTATCCAGTCCCCTTCTTCCTAAAAAGGGGTCTGGTAATGGAAATTTATTCCGTCGAATTTCAAAATAACGAATTGCTTTCTCTAGTACAAGTGTACATGGAAGCGCAAAAAGCATTGAAATGCCGAAAAGCGGGAAACATACAAATACAGATTATAGGCTCTAATTGCGGTCTATCTGGTCACCAAGGCAAAGCGGGGAGATTGGAGGTTTTGTGGAAGAAAGGAAACGTTTTACATATAGGTTCAATAAGAATAATTAGGAAAAAATGTGTTGGATTGATTCAAGAAATTTGAATCCGGAAGCTCGTCCCGCAAAAGATTTTGCTGGGCCGGACCGAAGCTAGGATAAGTCGACCCTTCGAATGGCTGGCGAAGAAAGCTTCCATAGAATTGATTTTGTGGATTCGAGTTTACCCAATCGTTTTCCGCTCTGCTGAAATCGAGATGATTTGGGCCTGGAAAAAATCCAAAGTCCATGGGGTTCGGGCTAGCAGGCTGCTGACGATTGGTTGAAGAAGAGAGAACAGGAGGAGCACTGTTCGGGAGTAATGTGTTGCTTAGCTCAGCAGTCGTCCAAAGTGAAGAGCTTGGTCCCGATAAAGCTGTCAATGGGTTGTCATATTGCAGTTGCGGATCCACTCGGCTGAAATCCAGCCATTCCGATTGAGACTGAGCGACTGGGATGATTTCCCGTCGGGGTAAAAAGTGAACGCTTTGCTGATCGGCGACGGCAGGAAGGGGATTTTCGGAAAGACCTCCATGGACCGGTGTTGATAATCTCTGACTTAAAGGTGACATACTTTCTTGATAATCACCGGCGGTAAAAGGGCCCTGAGGATGAATCTCTCGGTCATTCACATTCGGTGGGTATGAGCCATAAACGTCGACCTCGGAAGGGCCGCAAAGAGGCTTGATATCTGTTGCACACTCCACATTTATCGTTGGTTTGCTCTCATCTTTCGCCTTCGAATTGTCAGCTGGGCCAGAAGCCTTTCGTTTTCTAGACCTACTGACCGAGCTCTTCGGGCCGGATGAGGAGCTCGATTCTTTGCGCTTTCCAAGTGGAGAGACTGGTTCGATAAGCTTCTTTTGTCCGTCCTTGCTCGTCTCGGCCATCTTTCTTCTCTTCGGGCTATACTTGTAGTCTAAGGAAGCAAAAGGGAAACAGTGAAAGACATGTTAGTCCAAGCTCGATGTCTCCAGAGGGCTCAAGAGAGCGATGAGGATTAGAACAAGGAGAGCTGCCCTCAGGCCTCACCTGGATATTTGATGGCATGCTCCGCTTTGATGACTTCAGCTTTTTTCTCATAATCGCTTTTAACCTCTTGTGATTCATTACGCCACCTAGTCGCGATTTCCTTGCTCAGCAGACATTGAGCCAACCCATTATGCTGGGACTTCATCTCGACAATTTTATCTGAGCGATAGAGGATCCATGAGTTTGGCGGTCGTGGCAGTTTTTCTTCTTTGTTTTTGCTGGACACCGCGGGTTTGGCTTTTGTTGGAGTAGTGATCTTCGCGATGGGCTCTGGGGAGGTCTGATTGGGCTCACTCTCCAGCTTCAGGTCGAACTCTTTCATCGAGTCAAAGTCAAACAGATCCAGCGGCTTCAATTCAGGAGTCAGGAACTGCGCCATTGTCCGGTAGTTTTCAGCTTCTCGTTGTGGTCGCTATCTTTTGGGGGGGGTAAGGGAATTAGTGAAGGGTATATTATCATCTCAGGCCGGCCCTGAGAACATCGGTTGCGATTAAATATGCTTTGCGCCACCTCGTCGGCAATCCACGCTGAACGGGGGCACAATTCCGTTAGTAAGGGCTAGAGGCATATCGACAATATTACTATGTGCGGGAGCTAGAAGTCCGCATATGTTTCAGATGCCCATGGAGTACTCAATCTAGAAGTCTAGAAGTGACCGTCCATCGGGACAGAGGCCGAGAAAGGCAGGAGAGTATCCTCGCCGAGTGATTTACTTCCCGGTCGGTAAACCCCAGCCGCAGCGACCTCGTCCCCGGATTTGCATGCCGAAGAGCCTGCAGCACACAAGCATATGCAGCTAAAAAGGGCTCGAAATAATTCATCCATGAAAGGAAACACAAACCTGTGTTGGTAAGTCACCCATGGCTTCCCTTTACCGAAGCGAAGGGACCGGTTGGTCGTTAGTCACAACGCACTTAATTACACTCAAGCCTCGATTATCTCTATGTAGCTCAACATAAAATGTACATCAATGAGTTGCAAAGATACCCGACCACAAGAAAGGAACGCTTGATCCTTTTTTTTTTTTTTTTTTTTTTTTTTTAGTGCTGATTGTTTTGACATTGCGCACTTCAAGTAATACATTCTATGTAGATACACTCGATGATGTTTTTGAACTATTATTTTGAGAATACAACTTAATAAAAAATTAGTAGTATTTTAATCTTCTAAATTAAATGAAACTGAGTGATGAAGACTGTTGAGATTTGATAAATAAAAGAGAAGAAGAAAAAGACGAAAGAAAGAGAAATGAAAAAGAAGATAAAGAAATGGTTCCAATCGTTTTATTGATGATTATATTGTTGGATGAAGAATGTAAGAGAAAGTGATGATTGAAACTGATAACTTTTAGACCAAAGAAATTGATGACTTTTTACCAAAGAAAATGATAACTAGATTTTTTTTTTTTTAATTTTCTTCTTTTTCCAGATAATATTTCAGATGATTGAATCTATGAGTATCTATGATGAACTTTGAGAGGAGGTTGAAGCATTTAGGTGTGTCGAGTAAGCCTTTGATGGAATTGACATCGATCTTGATTTTTTCTGATGTGAGAGTTTTTCTAAATGACTTTCTTTGACAATCAAACTTTGGACAATAAACTAAGAAGTGTTTAACATCTTCCGGCGAATTGCAGAAGTTACAATTGGGGGACTCGAGTTTTTTGATGGAAAAAAGGTATTCATTGAGAGCGCAATGGCCGGACCGAAGTTGATAGATAATAGCTCCTGCGCTTCTTTCAAGAAGATTGATGCTTTCGAATATTTTGAGTGGAGTTGTGGAGAGGCGAGCATTATTGCGAGTGATTGACATCTTGTTTTTGTTGAATTTGAATTTGGATTGGGCAATTTGTTGAATGTTCGATAATGAGCGTAGTTGATTATTGAGGTGAATTGGATGCGTATTTAGGGTAGCTGCTTTGGCGAGTTCATCAACTTTTTCATTCTCGAGTATGCCGACGTGAGCTGGGCACCAATGAAGATGGATAGGAATATGGCATAAATCAATTATTATCTTGAACTTGTTGAAGATGTTGACAAAATTAGCTTGATAGGAGATAGGAAGTGGAGGATAGAGATGGTCGAAGGGTATCCGTCGCGGATACCCGTTATCCGCTGGCGGATACCCGCCTGTGCCAACGGATACCCGCCAGCGGGTGCGGATTCGGGTGCGGATGGCCCCTTTTCCGCAAATCGCCGGCGGGTATCCGGGAGATGGTCGAAGGGTATCCGTCGCGGATACCCGTTATCCGCTGGCGGATACCCGCCTGTGCCAACGGATACCCGCCAGCGGGTGCGGATTCGGGTGCGGATGGCCCCTTTTCCGCAAATCGCCGGCGGGTATCCGGGTATCCCAAAGGATACCCGCGGCCGGGAGGGGAGATGGCCGGCTGGAAGGAAGCCCTTCCAGCCGGTCCGTTGCCGGCCCTTTAGAGGGCGGGTATCCGAGGATACCCGCTCGGATACCCGCTGCGGCCGACGGATACCCGCTAGCGGGTGCGGGTGCGGATGCGGATGTGCAATTTCGCTGAAATTGCCATCGGATATCCGCATCCGGACGGGTATCCGGATGCGGACCGACCATCTCTAGTGGAGGATGAGAAATAGAATAAAGGGTGGCTTGGTTGTCAACAAAGAAATTGATTGGTGGAGTGGATACAGAAGTTGAAGGAGAAGATAGGTGGCGGTTGATGAAGATATCTAGGCCAACAATGATAGCTTGGACTTCTGCTTCAAAGGTGGACGTTTTATCTGAATCGTTGACGCGGCAGGAGGATTGGAAAGAGTTGTCCAGAATGGCTGCTGAACCGGCTCCATTTTCTGGGATGTTCGAACCGTCTGTGAAAATGAGGTGTTCAGAATTCGATTTTGAATTGTTGATCTGAGATTGAACTATCGACTTTATGTCTTCTTTTTTGATTTTTAAGTTCGAGATAGGAAGCAAAAAGTCTTCCCAAGGGTTAATGATATGAGGTTGGATGGTTTCGATCGAAGAAAGGTTGTAGTTGATGAATAAATGTTTGTCGAGGATGTTGTGGATGGGGGAAGGATGAGTAGATGGTAAATTTGAGATTTCTGAATCGATCAGGCGTTTGATAGGATGAGAAGATGGAGCTGTCGATTTTTTTATGATATAAAGGTGATTTTTTTCTTTTTAAGGGGGGTGCTTAATTTTGCAAAGGACAAGGCTTGCAAGACACAAACCTTGCAAAATTCAGATCCAAATGGGTTTTATCCATTTTTGCAGACCATTTAGTTTTTATTGTCTTCAAAAAACAGAGCCATGCATATGATTCAATAAAGAAAAGGGACCATACTAATCAACAAAAGAGAGCCAGACAGGGGAGAAGGGCCCCTTAATGACTCAATGAACCGGCACTAATTTCTTGGCACCAGTACTCCAGCACTTTTGCGTGAACTACGGCGGCGAGTAGGCTCCAGCAATTTCTGGGGTTGTGCAGGAGCCGCTGGTGCCAGATTGTCCAGCGCATATCCAGATGGCATCGTAGGTGAAGATTGCAGGCGGCGAGGAAGTTTGGTTTGATGAGCTGTAGTGACCCTAGCCTCAGGGGCCGAGGAGGATAGGGATGCTGTCGAGCCACCGAGACCTTTCAAGTTGAGGTAGTTTGATGCAAATCCAGGGCATTTTTTTGCTAACTCACTCATTTCTTTGGCTCGGCGCTCACTGTCCTTTTCATAGTGGGCCTGTTGACAAGCCAACATTTGGTCCCATGGGATCTCGTTTGTTGATCCGCTTCCGCTCTTTTTCAATATCTTTGGCTTCAGGGGCTGCCTTGGCGTTTTCGCATGTGGCTTTGGGGGCTGCTTTTGTCCTTTTGCAGGTGGCTTCGGGGGCTGATTTTCTCCTTTTGCAGGTGGCTTTGGGGGCTTCTTTGGCCCTTTAGGGGCAGTAGGCTTTTTTTTTCTTGATGGTGGTGGCGGTGAAATTGATACGGCCTCACGCGGGTTATTAAATGGCAAACATGTTGAGTCCAATCCAAAGCTTGGTGACCGTTCCGCAATCTTCAATGGTTTGATTGGGCTTTGATCTTCTCCGGTGAATGAATTTGCAGCGCTCAGGAGGCTCCGAAAGTGTACGAACGGGGGTGGTCGCTTGGCTCCTGGATTATCGGCTGTGATTTTTTTATCTGAGACTGAATGTATTCATCCTCGACCAGGGTCCAATCCCTGGAGTACATCAAGAAGCTTGTATTTGGAGAGGTGCCCCCAATCAACGGTGGGCCGCTACACTAACCGTAGCGGTTAGTGTAGCGTAACGTAGCGGAATTCCCGTTAGCGTTAAGCGTAGCGTAGCGGAATTCCGCCACGACACCGCTAACGCTACGCGTGTGGGCCGCAAAAAAGGGCCCACTACGCTGCGCTACAGCGGTTTTTAGCAGTTTTTAGCCGCTTTTTCCGCTAAAAGCGCTGTAGCGAAGCGTAGCGTAGCGAAAATGCGCTACAAAAGCGCTAACACTACGAATTTTTGGCGCAAAAAAAGCGCCGCTACGCTACGCTTTTTGGGCCAAAAGCGTAGCGTAGCGTAGCGGCCCACCGCTGCCCCAATAGCTGATGGATCGGTGCTGACCAGTCGGGCATTACCTTGGTTTTCTTGATCATCATGCAACCAGACACCAACTGAACCCCCCACGTTCTTGACCACCTTGCATCGATAGTGATCTCCAGTCCAGTATCCACAAGAGATCAGTGTGTAAATTTCTCCCCCAACATTCAATTTGGCGGGCCAATCCTGGACAGCCATAAATGTGCGCTGCTGAGCATCGCCAAAAATCGAAGTGACCTCCAGAAAGAAATACAAATGAGGAGGTGACCTGCCAGCTGGAAAGGATAGGCGAAAGGTTGAAGTGAGCGGTTCAGGATTGTTAGATGATGTGTCTGATTTTCTTTTGGTCCCAGCGGTGCAGTTTCGACAGTGTAGTCCGGGATGGACGGTGATCCCTCTTGATGAAGTCCAGAGTTTGATGAGCCCAGTCACATCGCTCGAAGCTACATTGTTATCGTTGAAAAAATCTTTCTTGATTGTCACAATATATTTTTCCCTTGGTTTATTGTGCTTTTCATGTTGGTAGTCTGGGTGTTTGGCACATGTGTAAGTACGAGTTTCTTCTACCGTAAAGAGTCCCCTAAGCGCCCAAGAGGAATTCTTCTCGGTGTCCAAGAGTATCTCGAGGAATAAATCACATGATGCAAATCGACCGGGAACAAACGACCCCGGGTATTGATTGTATGCTAGGTTGAAGAGTTTGGTCTGCCCTTTGGAGAGCACTGAGCGTATCTGACCAGCTTCAGTGAGGTCATATGTGATTCGAGAGTTGAAGTGATGGCATAAGGCACTGAACATGTCTTTACCGGTGCCGTTTGTTCCTTGAAGCCACAGAGGATTGTAAAGCGCATAGAGAGCTTCCATTGCTGTTGCCATCCAACAACGGTTCCGTCGCTGAGGATCTTTAGAAGCTGAATAGCCTGGATATCTCGTGAATGGGTTTCGGTCGATGTTGGTGGATCCCTTTGGCCGTCCAAGCTTCTTTGACCGCTTGTTAGAGTTAGAATCCTCAGCAAGAGTGAGTGCCTCCGTAGTGTCTGGGGCCCGCCCGTCGTTGATGTAAGTATGACGTTTGCGTTTTTTGGGTTTAGGCCATCCCATGGATTGTGCAACATTGTTTTGGCATTTTGTCTGAGATCCGTACTCGATTGAGACACCTCGCATAACAGCACCATAGTCTTCCTCAAGAACCTTTACGAAAGCAAATAGTTCCACCATGCTGAGGAGCATAGACTTTTTCCCGGAGCTAGTTTGGAAGAATGATGGCAAGATCAGATTGTGCTTGATAGAGCATAATTGTGGAAGCCACAAGCAACACTTACCTGATCATGTAGTACAGCCTGTGCATACTCTCTTGTGCATTGGTTGTATTGGGTAGCTTATCTTCTCCCTCAGGAGAATCTTCGAACAAGGGGCACCGTGAGGGGAACAACATGGCTTCAACATCCGAGGCGGTCCACCAGTCAAGCCACCGTTTAGCTTTGGGAAAGCGACGACGAAGCTCATCTATTTTGTCTTCGTGGCTTTTTCCTCCCGGCTCAGACCGCTCCAATAATGCCGTGCACATCTGTTCAAAGTTTGCCTGTAACAAAAATTGTAAAAGTCAGCATATGAGACAAGGAACCTTTATTGACAGAGTGGAAACCTTGACCGCTGACCTCTTCACCAGCGGCAACAATAGTTCGATTGCGTCTAACCCGAGTAATCTGAGCCCGGAAATGTTCATGGCAACCTTTGAGATTCCGGAGAGCTCTACTCCTGTCTGCCTCGCCAAAAACCTCCATAAACGCCCCAACAAAGCCCTCCTTCTGTGCCATTGAGAAGTCGACTACCTGTCGCGCCAGGGTTTCACATTCAGAAGGAAGGAAGGATGAAATCATAAATTGCCGGAAGAGGGTGGCAAAGTGAATCCTATAATAATTTTCAGCCAGTCCCCGAATCCATGTAAGTTGTACCGGTATCCATCGTGCAATTTGTTCGCAAAACATTGACGTGGTCAGGAGGTATCCGTTTTCAAAGAACCGGTAGGTGACGTCTGAAAGTAAGCCTCCTGTGTAAACCTCACGATCTTTCCCCCGAGCAAGTATCCTTTCAGCCATCCACTTGGTCTGGAAGGTGAAGTGTTCCTCCCCTTCCATGAAGGAGCACGAGATTATCCTCAGGCCGCGCCTGATAGAATCAGAGAAAGCCGGGGGTCTAAATCAATGTACACCTTGAAAAATGAAGAGAAGCACTCACTCGTTCCAATGAAACATGTCAGTGATGAACTTGTCTCCAACACCAGCACCATGTCTTTCGGGAACATAGCCCATCTCGGTAAGTACCAGTTTTTGGTAGTATTGCACTCGATCGCTGTTGACTAATGATGGATGAATTGAAGCCGCTCCCTCCGCGGCATCCTGCCCAGGCTGTCCAATCTGTTTTTTTGTAAATACCATCCGATTTCACTCAGCAGAGTGAGAGAACTGAGACAGGCCGTGGTTGTACATACCTTCAGCTTGAAGGCACCGGCCTTGGGGTTTTTCATCACCTCGGCTTTGAATGCGGCTTTCGAGAGGGGATCTGGTTTTTTTGCTTCGGGCCATGGATGGTTGTGGATGCCTTTGTGTCTCATCAATCCCCAGCCTGTCTTGGTATTGATATCAACACGGGTCATGGTACCATCACAACGTTGATGTTGGACATTGCCTGGGCAGGTACCAGCTTGACCCTTACATTGAGGATTGCTAGACAATCATTAAGATCAAAACGCAAAAGATGAGAGAGGTATCAGTGCAAGAACAGAAAGAGTAAAGTTAAAATCACTATATCTAAAAAAGTTGACTTACTTTTGTAGATATAGCTTGATTTGATTGGTTCCGGTGGGTGGACTCCCTGCCCATTTGCACTGGTGCTCGTCGCAAACAAGAACTCCAAAGCAGTAAATTCGGGAGACTTTCCAAACACCATCCTTGGGGGTCTCGGAAGATGTCCGCTTTGTGAATCCAACAGTTCCAAAGTTGAGGATTATTTGACTTGGCATCTTGACAAACGTAGTCTGACCGTTTGGGTATAGTGGGTACCCATCATTGTCCAAGATACAATCATGGTCAATGAAGGTCTCAAATCCACCCATGTTGTGTGGAAGAAACCATTCTTTCAAGCCATGGGTGTGACCCGATTTCGGGTCGCTGAGGATCCCAGGCAAGTCTTTAACCTTAGCCTCCGACTCGCTGGAGTCTTCAGAGTCTTCATCGACATGGCCGTGGCTGCTTGAGTATTTGTCACCGGAGTATGTTGATTCAGATACATCTGAGCTGTACTCCGAGGATACTTCAGGGTCAGGAGATCCGGTGAGATGATTATTTGAAGATGTTGAATTCATCTCAATACAATTCAGATTGAAGTATAAGGTGGCAAGTAAGTTGATTAAGGGACGGTAGGTAGGGCAAGCAAGTTGATTCAAGGCGTGTAGGTAGGTAGGTAGCTAGCTGTGATGTTGGCCTTGGCGGATGCCGATATTAGGAAGCAGGATATATACCTGAGCCCTGCGTGTATAAACCTCTTCAAAGTATGCCATGGAACATCGGTCGGAGAATTTTACACCACTGAGTTTCAGAGGCTCCAACCCTTGCAACAGAAAGCCCCGTGGAATCGCTGTCTCGCCATTCTAGTTAAGAATTTGGAGGGGCTTGACACAAAGCATGTGGCACGTTCCATGTAAATACCTGGGTGTACCGGTACATCTAACAATATTGCAAGGCACTGTTTCAGGGGGATTCCTGTCCGGTCACAATTCCTGCAAGAAACCCCCTGAAACATACACATTGCCCAAGCTTTCTGTATTTCTGCAAAGCATTGGTTTTGCAGACCTTTTACCGCGCAAAGGATACTTTGCAAAACTATCCTACCCCCTTTTTAAGACTTCAAAGAATGGAATTAGAGGGGATTCTCTAGAGAGGAATTTGCATGGAGTGGTCTTAAAAAGACCCAAGATGATTCTATTGGCTTGGTTGTCGATTTTATCAAATAAATTCTTGATGGTCGAGTATTTCCTATTGGTAGCCCATATGGAACTGCCATATAAGACTCTGGATCGGAGTACGCTAACGATAAGATTCTTGGATTGATGAAATCCGACACCGAAAGAGCATCTTGAGATTCAAATAAGTTGAGAAGAAGTTTGGTCGGCACATTTTTTGATTTTTTTGATGTGATCGGAAAATAGAAGTTTGGGATCAAAGATAATACCGAGATATTTTACAGAATAGGAGGTGGGAAGTAAGAGGTCTCCGAATTTGAAAGGGCGAATATCGACTGGATTGTGGGTAAAGACCATAAAGTTGGCCTTTTTCTTGTCAAAAATAGCATTATGTTTGACTCCCCATTCAAGGGATCTATTTCCTTCAGTCTCGAGTTTTCGAATGGAGGTTTCAAGATACTTTTTGGCGACTAGATGAGTTACATCGTCAATGAAACCCAGGGAGATAGCGTCTTGGTTTAAAGAAATTGGATTGTTGATAAGAAGAGATGAATTATAAATGATATATAAGATAGGGGAGAGAGGAGAGCCTTGAGGTAAGCCACATTTGAGCGAGAAAGGTGAGGAAAGGTAGTCGTCCATTTTGAGTGAAGTTGTTCGGTCGGAAAGGAAGCTAGAAATGATAGAGAGAATGTACGGAGGGGCGTTGTAGTGTGCCAAATGTGTTTCAAGTACCAAATTGCATAAAGTCATGATCCACTCTTGATTATAGACTAGATTCTTGGTATTATTATTACTTCATTAGACTCTACAGGTCATTTAACCCATAGTCACTCACTGGAACCACTAGGCTAGCTCCACTCAGTCAAAAGTTATTTGATAAATCAGTTTTTACTATAGTATAGTATAGTTGTCTTGGGTAGTACATAGTATAGATTTATATATAAGTGCATAGGTGCAATCTTTGTTTGTATAGGCATATGTATGATCACATGTTTAGTCACATGCTTGGATCACACGTATTTTCACATGAAATCACCAGCCACACGCTTGGATCACACATATTTTCACAACAGACCAGCCACACGCTTGGATCACACGTATTTTCACAAAAGACCAGCAAAAATGCCTCAACATAGGAAGAACATTCCGCAACACGTGTGATTTTCTGTATGGGGCAGTGCAGATCACATGACACACCAGCAAAAATGGCTCAATAGAAGTTTCCAAGTAGCAAAAATCCCTCAAAGAAGAAGTCACACCAGCATAAATCCCTCACAGGACATCCTCACTAGCTAAAATCCCTCACAATTTACTATATAAGGAGGTCATTTCTCCCTCCTCAGATCAGTTCCTCATGCCAATCAGGCACATCTACCAAGCTACACATTTCACTCAGAGTCTTCAAGTCAAACTAAGGTAAAATCCAACAGTGTGATCTCAATCAGGTGGCCCATCATCATCTTTCATACCTCAGATAGCGTAGAAGAATTCAAGTAACAAGTATCACCCCTTGTGCTCTTAACAAGTCAAAGTGATCTTAACCCATTTGTTATCTTAACTGACGGTTAAGGAGGAGGGCAAAAGACACTTTGAATAGTTCATATTTATCATTAGTTTCATCTCAGTCTTTTTCTCATATCATCATCTACTTTACTTCACTCATATAAACATATAAAAACATACAAAAATATCTCCCAGCTTTTCAAATCTTTCCATTATCTGACTCCAGCCTTCTGTAAACCACGCCAAATCCTTTCAATTCAAAATTCCACTAAGTCTCAGCTGATTCCACATTGATATAGGTTTGATAAGAGACTACTACATATAGTTTTCTCCATCATCAGTTTTTGCCACAACAATAGAAATAAATTTGTTGTCAGAATTCTAGAGTAGTACATTAGAGGGGCAGGTCTTTCAAACCACCCGTAACAGTTGTAATAAATTCATACATACCTGAAATATCATAACTTCTATTTCCCCCTCGCAGGACTGCCATCCATCCCATAGGAGTTCTCACAGCGTTTTTAATCTTGAGGTTGTGGAGAAGGTGTTCTTTAACAACAGTCGGAAAAGCTGATTTGACGTCCAGGAATAGAGACAAAACGATTTTATTTTCGCGCCATTTTTGACGGATACAAGAAGTGAGGAAGAGGTTTGCATCATCTGTGCAACGACCTGCTCTGCCTCCAAAGTGACCTTCAGCTAAGACATGATTGTTCTCAGCCCAGAAGGTGATTCTTTTTGTAAGAATACTTTCAAATATTTTCCCTAGACAGGACAGGAGAGCGATAGGGCGGTAAGAGCCTGGTAAAGAGTATGAGTCTTTATCAGCTTTTCGGATGATAGCTGTAGTGGCGTGGCGCCAAAATAGGGGGAAGTAACCGATTTTGAGGCAAGAAGAAAAGAGTCGGATAAAGAAGGGGATGAGGGATTCCTTACCCCAGATAATGAGTTCGTTTGTGATGTCGTCATGACCTCGGGCTTTCTTTTTTGGGAGGTTTGAAATGATGTTATTGATTTCAAAATGAGAGATGGTTGGGAAAGAGAAGGGAGAGTTGATGATCATAGAAGGGATAGAAGGGATGTCGGAAAGGGAGCAGTTGATAGGGGCGTTGGATGTACCTTTGAAGAGGAGGGAAGCCTGTTCTTCTTTGTTTGATGTGAGTATTTTTTGATCGTTGAGGAGGGGCGCGACACTGCCGTTGCTGTTTGGTTTGGTGAATTTGTATGCTTTGAATAGTTGAAAATCATTACATTCTGCAAGAAATTTACGCCAGTGATTTTTTTAATTCAAAAACTTTTTACTTGAAGATTGATTGCCAATGATTGAAGCAATCGCAAGATTTGGTCGATTTCGAAAGGAGCATCCATTTTCTTGCTCTGTTTCTTTTTTCAGCTAGGGGAGCAAGTATTTTAGAATTCCACCAAGGTTTTATTTTTTGAGAATTTTTTTTAACAATTTTTTTTTTGGATATCAATGGAGTTTTGAAGAGAGATAGTGAGATTTTCAACAAAGTTGTCGATGTCTTGAGGATTATGGAGAGAGTGTGACGGAAGGGCTTGAAGGAAGGTGTTGAGAGTCGAGTTGAATTTAATGGTATCGATTTTTTCTAGATCGCAGGAGAGGCGATCATTCACTTGGATATTTGATTGAAAGGAAAGGGTGAGATAGATGGATTGGTGGTCAGATCCGTGATTGTTGGAGGAAGTTGAACAAGAATGGATAAGTTTGTGGGATAAGAAGTTGGCCCATGTTAAGTCAATTGTTGTTGGACTAGATCTTTGGGTGATAAAGGTAGGAGTGCCTTTTTCAGAAATAAGTTTAAAGCCATTTTGACCGCATGTTTTGATGAGGGTTGAAGATTCGCGATGGGAATGAAGATAATTCGATGGGTTCCAGAGTTTATTATGGAGATTGGAGTCGATGAAGATGAAAGAGGGGATTTTTTGATTGTTGAAAGAGTTTAGCCAGGTGTTTAGTTCAGGAAGGGCGTCGAAGTTCTTGGGAGGATTATAGACATTGATGAGTCTAATTTTTTGATGTTGTTGAAGTTGATGTCAATATCGACAGCTGATAGGATTCGAGAGCCGCCAGGGAGAGGGTGGATGCGTTTGGAGTTGTATTTCTTGTTAATTAGGAAGCAGATACGATGTTTGTTCTGATACAAAGATGGAGAGTGGTTGTGATCAAGGAGACAGAGCCAATTAGAGTGGAAAGGGAGCTTGAATGAGTGAGGGTTGATCCATGGTTCTTGTAAGATGAGGATTGATGAATTGATTTCGGTGTTTAAGACGCTGAAGGTGACATCAAAAGAATTATGGCAATTTAATTGGAGAATCTTGAAAAGGGGTTCTGAGACATTGGATGAAGGGGACGGAGGAATGGAAGGGGGAGAAGAAGAGAAAAGGGGAGGAATTAAGTTTGGGTTGTTGTCGTTGTACCTATACATGATTTAAGATATTTTTACGGAGGGATTTAGATTTCAAGGGGCATTTGATACTGGTGGAAGAATGATGGAATCGGACATTATCTTCATGCACCTCAGTGGAAAGATTAAGACTTTTTTCTAATTGAATACACTTGACGCAGACATCTTTACTGTCGTCCGAAGTACATTCTCTTGAGTTGTGGCTATCGCCACAGAATTTACACATTGGAGAGTTCTTGCACAATTGAGCGGTATGTCCAATGTCAAGACATTGGAAGCATTGCAGGGGGACTTTTTATAGTGGGCGCCTCTTAAGAATAGGAATTTATAGAAAAGACCGCCTTTCTCAACTTTTTGAGCAAGGTTCTTATTGAAAAGGTTAATTATCAACGATCCATGAGATTGTTTTTTAGAGTGTGGGTCTCCAAGCCATCGGATGGAGAGAATATCTTTAGGATCAATATTATTTTC